TCCAATCCACCAATCCAATCCATCAATCCATCAAAAATATCCACTTAATCCAATCCATTTAAATCCAATCCATTTGATCCAAATCCAATTGGATTGGTGGATTCATGGATTGAATCCATGGATCATTGGCAAATTACGGTTTAGTACCTATAATTTTTATTTTTTACATTTTGGTACCTAAAAATTAATTTTTTATACGAAAAATATCATTGGAAAATTACGTTTGGTACCTAAAAATTTTCATTGTGACATTTTAGTACCTAAACTTTTTACATTTTACATATTGGTCCTTGGTTGAGCATGTCATTTGGATTCATGGATAATCCACCAATCCACTTGATCCAATCCATGAATCCACCAATCCATTAGATCCAATCCATTTGATCCATAGATCCACCAATCCAATCCACCAATCCACCAATCCAATCCATTTGCCACCTCTACTCATGCCAAACACAATGCGTAAATGTGAATATTAAGCTAAATTTGGATTTATGTGTAGAATTTGTTTAGGATATAGATAATCAGCCACAAGCGTAGCAAAGTAGGATTAACTTTAACTCCATGCATGTGCTTCTACCACAAACAACTCAGAACTAATGTATTCATTGTCAATAATTTAAGCAATGAAGGAAAGGATTTTGCAATCAAGTGTTCCCGATCCTAGTTTTACTTGATGTTTTCTTTGAGACATATCATTGGAAGGACAAGTTTCGGATTCCAAATGCCAAGTGTAGCTTTCAAAAGAAACATAGATAAATATCAAACCTTCCAGCATTGAAGAAATCCTTAAGCTCCTGATGGAAAATCTTGAACTGTTCCACGAATGCCCCATTGTACTCTCCAGGATTCTTGGTGATTCGTGCAAGCATTGCCTCCGTAGCAACTAGATCTTCTGGCCCGGCATTCCTATGAAGTTTATTTTGAATCGTGTGTTTGATTTCTTGCTGACAGTTGAAATAACTAGGTTACTGGATTGATCAGGTCATAAAATAAAAGCAATCGCAACTACCCGTGAGCCTTTTTACGCATACCTTAAGGTCATGAGGGATGTCATTCCGATGAGCGATATCCCTAATGCGAGTTAGAGGAACCGATGCTGTAAATTCTGCCTTAAATGACGGCAAACACGGATGGATCTTCCGAATAACAAGCACTTGCTAAACATCAACAGTAGAAAGTTGCAAAGATGAGCCAAAACTTTATACAAGATAGAATGCAAAGCAAAGCAGCTACAGGTAACAAAGAAAGCAAGCCTAGATCAAACTGTCAATAAGACATACATGATTATGTCATGTTTTCAATGTTTAATCAACTATAGCTCTAGTAAATAGAAGAAAATATATCAACACCGTCAGAAAAGCTCTCCAGTAATCAGTTTCTGGAGGAGGTTTCATCCGTCTGTTCAGCACAAATGAAACACCAAGAAGCGAATACTAATAGCACAGCCTTGTCACTCAAATAGTCAAATTACATTTTCACCTGACTGAAAGACCTAAAGACCATACTACTATTGAGCATGTAACTTCAAATTTGTAACCAGTGAGCAAGCTGACCATAAACACTCCTGAAATAAAGGAACTGGAAAGAACCATACCCAAAAAGAGGGGGGAAACTAAGTTCCTTCTCATCTAAGCAACCTTTAACATAAACAACAAAACGGCAGCAATGGAACACTGCCTAGGTGAAACAAGGTTGGAGAGAAGGCCATCAAATTCAAAATACCAGTCAAGCAAAAAGATAGAGCACCTGTGGAGAAGTATCCTTTCTACTAGATATTCTTTCCAACTCCCGAAATATAAGCCTAGAGATTTCAGCATGACGATTTGGCCTGTGATGACCTCCACCTTCAAAGCATGGAATTTGTCCTGTATTAATCCACTGCACAAGAAAAGTATTTAAGAGAAGCACTGAAAGGGAAACATCAAGAAAAAGTAAGAACACAGACAGCTAAGAACCTTAAGATAGATAGCAGAGTATATGAGAGCATCCATGCGATCCCCACTTTCGGGACTTCCAACTATCAGCTCCCGGACAACTTCAAGCTGTTCAAACCAAGAGAAAAACTACGTCAACAGAAAGCAGAGATCATTGAGAACTGTGGAAATCATACTACAGGCGAAAGAAAGTGAAATTGTAGTTTTTAGCTAGCAGCACAATGAGGATTTTTTCTTTAAGTTCTTTAGAAAACTCACGCAGATTCATATAGTAAGACGAAGCATCTGAGCGAAATACCTTCATCCACCAATTCCTCGCACTTCGATCACCTTCGACTAACTTCAGAGACAATCCTTCGAGACCAGACGTATCCCATTTCCTATCTTCTTCTCTGTCCCTATGTTCATTGGACCTCATAAATGACGCAGCCTTTCCCTGCCACTGTCCAACAAAAGGGCTCGGCTCACCATCATGAGTGGGAGGAGCACTACTAGGTCCATCAAGGTCTATTTTCTCAGTTCTCTCCTGTTTCCGTTCTGAACCAGTAGGCGACAGATCTATACCTTCCCCAGTTGCATTCCACCGACACACCATCTCATAACTCCCCTCATTCGGCAATTTCAGTGTCCGATTATCGCCACCTTCCCACGAAGTACGTTTTTCCTTGTCCACAACAACAAACTTATACTCAATAGACTGACCACCGTTCAACTCCAAATTACACACCCATCCACCTTCCGTCCAATTCAATGGCACCTTCTTTTTCCACGAACCCAACTCTTTGGCTGATCCCAAAATGACTACATTCTCACCAAATTCAACTTGGTGATCTAGACGAATGTTGAGCTGCACTTTCCCCGCTCTTTGTTTCGAATTGGATTTGTTCATCCTCTCTTCATCTCTGCCATAAACACCAGCCTTATATAATCCAATTTGTAGAAAAGAACGCATTGCTAAAAACTTACTCTGAATCAACGATTCTGAGAATGTTAACCATCCTGTAATCCACATTTTGGATCAAATATCCATTCATAACCCTATCAATCTAGACACATAACCTCACAGGAAGAAGCTCAAACTATCCAGGCCGACTGATTGTTATCTCCTAGTTAAAAACAGCTACTTGCCAAGAATAAATTCAGTAGTGAAGCATTCATGTCGGAGTTCCCTAAATAAAGCGACGAATGAATGGAGGCGGAGAGCGATAGAGAGAAGAACCTGGTTTCAGGAGGGGAAAAGCGGCAAGCGATTCTTGGGAGAAGGACATGTCGGTGGTGGCGGAGGGGGAATGAGATCCTGGGAGTGCGGAAGGGCAAATGATGAGCGTCCGGAGAATGACGACCGCGGCGGTGGAGAGATTTAGAACGGTGATCGGCCAGGTGGAGTCCGGGCGATGCAGGGGTGCAGCAGCGGTGGTGGTGCAATCCACGCAAGGGATCCATTGTTGGAGTGAGGGGGCGAGTGAGAAGAAGATCGAAGAAGAAAAGGGAGGGAGGAGAAGATGAAGATGAAGGATTGGGTGGAAAGAGACACGTGGTGTTGGCTTCTAATTACGCTTAAGAATTAAGAATTAAGAATAAATATCTGACAAATAATATCCGCGCCAAATTCCAAACCTCGATCGGCGGAGGAGCGTCGCCGGCGGCGGCGGGATCTGCTGTGTATCGGGCAATCGGAGTTCGGGTACGGTACGGGTGCGAAGGTCACATAATTTGAGTTAATAGCTGTAATGCCCCTATATTGTCTCTTTACCTCAAACGAATCCCTCAACTAATGTTTCAAACCAATTCCATAACCATCTCAATGACAATGACTAATGTAGGAATATGCTACTTTCTTAATGCAAAATATACATGTATAACTATAACTTTAAATTACTTTAGAAAAATATAAAATGTAGTTGTTTCTGTCCAAACTTTAACGGTGTTAGAAGCTTCTTTAACATTATCTTTAATATTATCAGTTATGTCAATGACATGCTGATTACTAATGTGAACGCTATATCACTTCCAAATCGTCACTTCATGCCACTTGTCGGTCACATCCAAATTAAAAATATAATTGTATAGCCGAACCTTTTATGTTAATGATTAATATACATATGCTGACTACTTCGGTGCACTCACAAAAATGAGTGTGTTCAATGCACCCAACTCAAAAACTAGTCTTAGGGTGTCGGATTTTGAATTTTAATTTATAAAATTAGTGTAATATGATCATATAACATATGATAACAACTAATTGACAGATTACCCTAAGCCCTAGACCTCCAATTTTGAGTTCTATCCCTAAACCCCAAATTGTAAACCCTAACCCTAATCCTAAATCTCTAAACTCTAAATTCTTCAAATTAAAGTACATCTTTAGAGAGATGAGCGATGGTCGGGCGGGATTGGTTGCTGTCGGAGGGAGTAGTGGAATCTGGAGTGGATTTGATTTTCTTCATTTGTGGTGTCAGGTGGTCGTAAGGTGTAGGTGACCATGGCGGTTGTTTAAGAGGAGAAGATGATGATTATGAATTATATAAATCCTCCATTAGACGATTTGTTTTTGTTTTTATACCAGATATCGTTATTTTATACATTAATTATAAGACTTGTGTTAGACTTAACGGTTTTATTGAACGAAATGACTATATTTGTCATTAGCATCAAAGTTTTGGCAATATGTATGTACTTTTTAAATATGATGTGACTAACAGGTGGTATGACGTGACGATTTGGAGTTGACATGGCGATGGCGTCTGCATCAACATGTTATTTGACCAACGACGTCTTTAATGAAGTTAAAAGATTTTAACCGACTATATTTGTCCAACGAGCATTCTAAATCTAAATATATTTGTGACTTTTACAAAAATTTACTATTATTGTCACAAATACCTAGTATATTATATCTTTAATCCTAATTAGAATTGTAAGTCTGTGACAGTTTAAACTTTAAAGATTGAATAGTTGATGCTTTACTTAAAGGGTAGGATTCCTCTGTTTTCCCCTGTTCTGTGTTCTGTTTTCTTGAAGCTGGTGGTTTTTAAACTTCCTTTTCTTACTGTTGGATTACCTGGGAAAGGACAAAAAGCTCCGCCTGCAAATTCGAACTCCTAAAAGCACCAAAAACTAGAATTCAAGTGGAGGAAACAACAAAAATGGCCACTAGCTAGACCACAAAATAGAAGCACAAGAACAAGAGAGATGGGAGAATACGCAAAAGTACTCCGTTGTGGCTGATCGGATTTGCTTATGTATCTACTCCTCCTTTTCTCTCTCTCTCTCTCGCTCTCTGCCATTATAAAAAGCCAAGTTAACAAACCACAACTCTTCATCTACTCCATTTCCAGCTATCCACCTGAAGCTGAACGAACAGAGACGCTATCACAATCACTAAAGCAAAAAAGGCGGGAAAATGGCGGCAGTGAAGAGGATTAAGTTGGGTTCGCAAGGTCTCGAGGTGTCGGCACAGGGGCTCGGTTGCATGGGAATGTCTGCCTTCTACGGCCCTGCCAAGCCCGATTCCGACATGATCGCTCTAATCCACCATGCTATCAACAGCGGCGTCACTTTCTTCGATACCTCTGATGTCTACGGCCCTCGCACCAACGAAACCCTTCTCGGCAAGGTATGAATTCCTCTGTTTTCTCCCCTGTTTTCTGTGCTCTGTTTTTTCCTTCCCCTGCAGCTGCTGATTGTTTTTACCTTTTGTTGGGTTTGATTGTCGATTAGGCTTTCAAGGAAGGTGTTAGGGAGAAAGCAGAGCTGGCTACCAAATTTGGATCCGTCTTTGAAGAAGGAAAGAGAGGGTACAGGGGAGATCCTGCTTATGTAAGAGCTGCTTGCGAGGCCAGCTTGAAGAGGCTCGAAGTTGACTGCATTGATCTCTACTACCAACATCGCGTTGACACCACAGTACCAATTGAAGCCACGGTTTGTCCCTTTTTCCTCCTTCTTCAACTTCCTCTCTTCTGGGTTCTCCCAAAGTTCGAAACTTTTCGCTTAACGATGCTTTTCCAATCCCTTTGATTGCCGTTAAAAAAGGTTGGCGAGATGAAGAAGCTAGTTGAAGAGGGCAAAATCAAGTACATTGGTCTCTCCGAGGCCTCCGCGGCGACGATCAGGAGAGCTCATGCTGTTCATCCCATAACAGCAGTGCAGTTGGAGTGGTCCTTGTGGTCAAGAGATGTGGAGGAAGAGATCATCCCTACTTGCAGGTAATCTATAACTAAAATGTCTTTCTGACTTCAGAGTTGCTCCTTTTGTAAGGCTAATGAAAAAGCTTGAGTTCATGTGTTTTATGCAGAGAACTTGGGATTGGGATTGTTGTCTACAGTCCCCTTGGCAGAGGGTTCTTTGCCTCGGGGCCTAAACTTCTCGATAGCCTCGACGATGGAGACTTTCGAAAGGTTACTGCCTCTCTTCTATGTCATTTGCTCGTTCGATAAGTTCCTAGTACTGATGCTAATCATTTGAATCGCTTATGTCACAGATGCAACCGAGGTTCCAAGGCGAAAATCTGGATCACAACAAGACCCTATTCGAGAAAGTTAATGCAATGGCGAATCGAAAAGGATGCACACCATCACAACTGGCGCTTGCATGGGTGCACCACCAGGGAGATGATGTATGTCCCATACCAGGAACCACCAAGATCGAAAACTTTGATCAGAATGTTGGAGCTTTGTCTGTGAAGCTCGCACCAGAGGAAATGTCTGAACTGGAAGCCATGGCTTCAGATGATGCTGTGAAGGGTGATAGGTACATGGAGGGCATAGCCACATTCAAGGGTGCTGATACTCCACCTTTCTCTTCATGGGAAAGTGCTTAAACTGAAATGGCTCGTGCAATTGTGCTAGGGTTTCCTTTTATGGTTTCAATAAGTGCGTATGGTTTGGCACTCCAATTTACTAATAAGGCTTTCAAAGTTTGAAGTTAAAAGCCTGTTTTGAGTTTCATATACCTGAGGACAGGTTACTCATACCTTCCTAATATAACTATATAAGCTTAGTCCATTAGGCTTTTTGTGGCATGATCACGATTCACGACCAAACTCGTTTCTTTTCTTTCTAAATGTCAGAACTCTATATTTCCAAAAATTCCATTCCAACAATCTCGATACTCAATAGTAATTAGAGATCAGGCCTGAACGATTTCGATTGAACGTGAAAAACTTTTGAGGCGACAACTAAAAAGGAATGAAAAAGACTAGATTAACAAAAAATAATTAAAATTAGAACTCATTAAACAATAGATAATTTTTTTTTTTTAAATCCTTGACTTGAAATTGAAAACAGGATGATTCAATCTAGGGGTGTTCAAATGGTTACCATGGTTATAATCAAACCAATTAAGGCTAAATTCCATTAACCATGGAATACAATATCATAACCAAACCGTCCAAACTAATACAACAACCAAATTAACCAAACTAAAGTTTAATCGGTTTGGCTAATTGGTTAACCAGATTAACCAATATAAAATCACATTATCATTGACGATGAAAATTTTATGGTTAATGCAACAATTCGCAATTTATATAATGAATAAAACATAACAACCAGCACGTAGTTATAGTTGCCCCTTAACAAAAATACATGCAACTAAGACAATTATCTTACTATTAGTATAGAAGTATTCACCTAACAAAAATTTATGACAATTGTATGGGTTAATGAATTGTTGTGTTTGTGTAAATTGACTAAGTCTCTTAGCAATTATCATAGGCTGAAAATGACATTCCTTTCAAGTTTTCATCCATCATAATGTATGAAATTTATCTAAATTAGGCGTCCATATGTTGTGCTCTACATTTTACATATACAAATATACACTATATGAGCAATATTGAGCTTTATATTTTATGAGTCTAAAAGGGATGAACGTTAACTCTTGAGTGGTTATGCAAAGTATTAAGTATGTGTATATAATATATGTTAGATATATGACTAATTACTTAACTGATTAATTTGGTTTGACTGGTTAGGAGTGTCTGAAATCAAACCAAACCACCTAAACCAAACAAGCTAAAAACTTTAACCAAACCAAACCAATTATCCAAATTAACCAAACCAAATTATCCAAATAGTACCGGTTAAAACGGTTACCATGGTAACTAAACCGTTTGAACACCCCTAATTCAATCTCTCTCATTCACGACTTCACGTCCACTGAAGTTCCGATTTTTGAGTCGTCTTCAAATGATGAAAATGATTATTTTATTTTAAGCAAAAAGAATACTATTGAAATCCGAAACTTCATTAGCCTTGGAGTCCAATATACTCTCTCTATGGTCAGAATTCATCTTCTTCTCATTTACAACTTCACGTGACCTGAAATATGGTTTAGAAGTCGTACTCAAGTAATGAAAATAATTACTTTATTCTTGCATAGAGTTATTTCGGAATCTAAGGCCTCATTAGCTATCGAGCCTAATTTACTCTCATGGCTCATGAGTGTATGTTATAGCGAGAGTTTGACTCAGTAGTTTCATATGTAGATCGGTCTCCTATGCTATGATTTATATCCTCATTTATCATCGAGTGCAAATTATTATAAAAATCTCCACAAATTTTTTGTAATTTTTTTATACTTTTGCAATTATGTCTTATGAGTTACATTTTATTAATTATTTTCATATAACATACTTACGGTATTGTGAAGCATGTGAGTTAACCAATAGGATAGTCCCAAACCCTTTATGTGAAAAAAAAACCATTAGCATATATTCAATTATCATTTAATACGGAATCGACAGCCATTTAAATTTTAAAAATAATTAATTGGTTTAACCTAAAAATCGATATCGATTAACCAAATATAGATGACATATTTACCACAAGAACCGTTGAATTTTCTTGATTCCCTACCACGATTATTTCACAAGTCCCGGAAGGCTAAAATTGATTGAAGTGAAGGATAGTGGGAAATGTGGCCACTAGAAAACAGAGATGCAGAAGAAGACATGCTCGAGATTGAAGAACGCAAAACTCTTTTGGACAAGCAACTATCCTGTTTTCCACTCAAGAAATTTCTCTCTTCCTTTTCGGTCAAATTCTGAACACGACGATCAATTGATTCATTGCGTAAGTCCTGACGTGGTGGAGGGTCGGTAGTGCGGGGTTGGTGAAGTCTACTGTCTACTTCCGCTACCTCACTCCACCAATATAAAATCGAAACTCCACCGCTCATCATTTTCTCCAACCCACTTCCAGTTTTCCCCTGAATCCGAGCGAAAGAAAAAAGCTACCGGAATTTTAAAGGAAAAGAGGGCCAAAAATGGCGTCAGTGAAGAGAATTAAGTTAGGTTCTCAAGGTCTGGAAGTTTCAGCTCAAGGGCTTGGGTGCATGGGAATGTCCGCCTTCTATGGCCCTCCAAAACCTGATTCAGACATGATCGCCCTCATCCACCATGCCATCAACAGCGGCGTCACTCTCCTCGATACATCTGACATCTACGGCCCTCGCACCAACGAGATCCTTCTCGGAAAGGTATGGATTTTTTCTGTTTCCTCTGTTTCAGAGCTCTGTTTTCTAGTGAGCTGCTGATTTTGGGCATTTTTTTTTACTGGGTGATTAGGCTTTGAAAGGAGGGTTTAGGGAGAAGGTTGAGCTCGCTTCCAAATTTGCGATCGTTTATGAAGAGGGGAAGAGAGGAGTTCGTGGTGATCCTGCCTATGTAAGAACTGCCTGCGAGGCCAGCTTGAAGAGGCTTGAAGTTGACTGTATTGACCTTTATTACCAGCATCGCGTTGACACCACCGTTCCAATTGAAGTCACGGTTAGTCTCTTTTTGCTTCTTCTCCTTGATCTTATTCTGAAGATCCCTCTTCTGGGTTCTTTCCAAAGTTTGAAACTTTTGCTTGCCTTTGCAATACCCATTTCTGATCTACTAAGTTATACATATCCCTTTAGAGCTTGGATTGACTTAAAGGTCTTTCTGCCAGTGTGGAGCATGACTTTCAAGCTGACTTAGGTTTTGATGTGTAATTTGCTGCCGGTGTGAATTGTTGGAATATCTCCAATGAATTTGCTGTTTTGTGTTGTGGGATTTGCTTATGTGAAGAAGTTTGTTTTGGAACTCATTCCCAATTCGTTTCCTTGATTGTTGGAAAAGGTTGGGGAGCTGAAGAAACTGGTTGAGGAGGGTAAAATCAAGTACATTGGTCTGTCCGAGGCCTCGGCCGCGACGATCAGAAGGGCTCATGCAGTTCATCCTATAACTGCAGTGCAGTTGGAGTGGTCCTTGTGGTCAAGGGATGTGGAGGAAGAGATTATCCCCACTTGCAGGTAATTAGGCTGCTTCCCAGAAGAACCAAAGAAAAAAAAAGCAACTGAATGGATGTTCCTTTGAGTTATATGTGTAGACTGTTGACTCATGATTTCATCCTTATGCAGAGAACTAGGGATTGGAATTGTGGCCTACAGTCCCCTTGGCCGAGGATTCTTCGCTTCAGGGCCTAAACTTCTTGACAGCCTTGCGGAAGGAGACTTCCGAAGGGTACACCCTATCTAACCATGCATCTATTTCCTTAATTTTTACCTGTTCTTAACCTTGCTAGCATTGGTCTGCCATTGTCTGCGTTTAAGGTTTAGAAGGAGCATTGTTTAGTGACTTATAATGCTTACCATTCTCATCTTACATCATAGATGCAACCAAGGTTCCAAGGCGAAAACTGGGATTACAACAAGACCCTCTTCGAGAGGGTTTCTGAAATCGCAAACCGAAAAGGATGCACACCATCACAACTGGCACTTGCATGGGTGCACCACCAGGGAGATGATGTGTGCCCCATTCCAGGAACCACCAAGATTGAGAACTTCAACCAGAACATAGGAGCTCTATCAGTCAAACTTACACCAGAAGAAATGTCCGAACTAGAAGCGATTGCGTCGACCGATGCTGTGAAAGGTGATAGATACATGGCAGGCATGTCCACTTTCAAAGGTGCTGACACTCCACCTCTGTCTTCCTGGAAAAGCGAATAGAAAGTGCTGTTCTATAATGCATTGAGTGAGAGTAATGGTTTGGCAATAAAATGAGCTTGCTGAGTTCAAGTTGAAGTTCTGCAATTTTCCATAACGAGGGTATTCTCATGTACTCATTGCCTGTCCCTGCCCCTGGTATCGATAATCGATATGTAACACTTTGTATCGACATAGCTTTGTATTGTACCGATTCTTGACGAATAGATGAATCAATATCTGATAAGGAAAGACGTGTCTTCCCTTTGACAGATTCAAACTTCCTCATTCCACCCGTTTCTCCCACTATTGTTTTTCTGTTCCTATTTTGTTGAGTAATTGTTGAACTCAATTCCGTACACTTTAGCTGAGACGTTGCTATAGAAGCTGCTGCCTTCCACTATGTGCTTGCATTGCTTGTTATTGATAGTTAGTGGAAGAGAGAGTTCTTAAATCCCTGAGTTTTCTGAATGCGGAGCGAAAGAAAAAGATGCCGGAATCTTGGAGGCAAGGAGGGCAAAAATGAAACCCCACCATCACAAAAACGTGGTGGAGGGTTGGTGGCGTCTACCATAGTACCATGACCATCTACTTCGCTACCTCACTCCACTAGTCCACAATTATAAAATCGACTCCACCATCATTTTCTCTCCCCACTTCCAGTTTTCCCCTGAAGCTGAGCGAAAGGAAAAAGCTTGCCGCAATCTTCAAGGTAAGGAGGGCAAAAAAATGGAGTCAGTGAAGAGAATGAAGCTGGGTACTCAAGGTCTGGAAGTCTCAGCTCAAGGGCTCGGTTGCATGGGAATGTCATCCTTCTATGGCTCTCCAAAGCCAGACTCGGACATGATCGCTCTGATCCACCACGCCATCAACAGCGGCGTCACTCACCTCGATACATCCGACTTGTACGGCCCTCGCACCAACGAGATCCTTCTCGGCAAGGTATGGATTTTCTGTTTCCCCTGTTCAGTGCCTCTGTTTTGTTGTAAGCTGCTGATTTTGGGGATTTATGGTATTCTTTTTGTGGTGATTTGGTAATCAGGCTTTGAAGGGAGGGTTTAGGGAGAAGGTTGAGCTGGCTTCCAAATTTGGATTTGTTATTGAAGAGGGGAAGAGCGGAATTCGTGGAGATCCTGCCTATGTAAGGACTGCATGCGAGGATAGCTTGAAGAGGCTTGAAGTTGACTGTATTGACCTTTACTACCAGCATCGCGTTGACACCACCGTTCCGATTGAAGTCACGGTTAGTCTCTTCTTTACTTCCTCTCCTTAATCTTATTCTGAAGATCCCTCTTCTGGGTTCTTCCAAAGTTTGAAACTTTTCCTTGCCTTTGCAATACCCACAATTGTTTACTAAGTTATAGATATCCCTTTGAGTTTGGATTGACTCAAAGGTCTTTCTGCCAAGTTTGGAGCATGACTTGCAAGCTAACTCATGTTTGATTGACCACTATCTTGATAAATTATGTGTTGTTAGCATTGTTGGAATCTTGGATTGGATTCATGGCATTTACTTGTGTGATGATGATGAAATTTGTTTTGGAACTCCTTCCAATTTGTCGCCTTGATTGTTGTACAAGGTTGGGGAGCTGAAGAAACTGGTTGAAGAGGGTAAGATCAAGTACGTTGGCCTGTCAGAGGCCTCTGCCGCGACGATCAGAAGGGCTCATGCAGTTCATCCTATAACTGCAGTGCAGTTGGAGTGGTCCTTGTGGTCAAGGGACGTGGAGGAAGAGATTATCCCCGCTTGCAGGTAATTAGCCTGCTTCCCAGAAGAACCAAAGAAAAGGGAAGAAAAAAGAAAGCAACTGAATGAATGTTCTTTTGAGTTATATGTCTAGACTGTTGACTCATGATTTCACCCTTATGCAGAGAGCTAGGGATTGGGATTGTTGCCTACAGTCCCCTTGGTCGAGGATTCTTGGCTTCAGGACCTAAACTTCTAGACAGCCTTGCCGATGGAGACTTCCGAAGGGTGTGTATGCCTCTATTCTGTGTCCTTTGTCTGTTCTTAACCCTTTAAGGATTAGAAGTAGCATTGTTTAGTGACTTATAATGCTTGCTTACCATTTTCACCTTACATCACAGACGCAACCAAGGTTCCAAGGCGAAAACTGGGATCACAACAAAACCCTCTTCGAGAGGGTTTCTGAAATCGCAAACCGGAAAGGATGCACACCGTCACAACTGGCACTTGCATGGGTGCACCACCAGGGAGATGATGTATGCCCTATTCCAGGAACCACCAAGATTGAGAACTTCAACCAGAACATTGGAGCTCTATCTGTCAAACTCACACCACAAGAAATGTCCGAACTAGAATCCATCGCGTCGACCGATGCTGTCAAAGGTGATAGATACATGGCAGGCATGTCCACTTTCAAAGGTGCCGACACTCCACCTCTGTCTACCTGGAAAAGCGAATAGAAAGTGTTGTTCTTTAATGCAGTGAGTGAGTAATGGTTTTGCAATAAAATGAGGTTTCTGAGGTTCAAGTTGAAGTTCTGCAATTTTTCCATAATGAAGGTATCTCATGTAGTCATGCCTCCCTGGTAACGATATTACGATATGTAACACTTCGTATTGGCAGAGCTTAGTTCTGCACATTATACAATCTAAAACATTGGGAAGGTCTCTGCTACGACCATTATGCTCTATGCTGAGCGTTGCTAACTGGATCCATGGAGATTAGAGTTCCCATATGAACAAATGCCTGAAATTCCTGGGGAAGCCCTCGAATGCAGACGTCCTCAAACCCTCCACTACCCTGATCATAAACCACCAGACACTTGCTCCTATAAAGAAACAGAACCTTGCCATCCTTAAACTCCCACAGAACTTTGAATGACCTCCCTTTGATCCCATTCTTCTTCCTCCTAGTTGGTGGCGCCCCGCCCTCCATACTATAACTCCGAGGGACATGGCTCGGGATGGCAAACTCTTTGCTCCAAGATTCCTTCACACAGTACCTTCTCATCACCCACACTCCAACCGATCCATCGCTGCTCAACTCGACAGCACAGAGACGACCTCTCATATTCACCAGATGATCAAAGCTGCTGCAGTCTTTCGGTCCAGGCACGGCCTGGAACTCCTCAGCTTCCAAGTCAAACGACACCACACCTTCATCTCCCAGGTTACAGCTCTTCCAGTGAAGTCTGCATTCCACCGTTGCCTCGGATGCTGGACCAGCGAGAGCGTATGCGATTCGCCCCAGTCGTCTCCACTCATCATCATCTGTCCCCAGAGTCAGCACAAAGGCTTCAGGGTTTCCTCCAGAGAAGTCGTACTCCGATTGCTTGTAGTACACGACTTTCACTACCTTGTACTGCTTTGTCCGCGAATGGAATCCGAACCCAAACACCACCCTGCAGATTGTGTCAGTGTCATGAACCGTGAGCTTGGGGAGCTCCTTGCAATGTGCAGAGCTGGAGAAAGGGTTGTAGATGTAGAGTGGATCGTCGGAGACGGTGTTGTACAGACAGAGGATTCCATTGCAAGAACCCACCAGATCAAAGTCAGGTAACAACATTGATCCATCCAACTGGATGATCTTCACCGTTTTGGCTGTCTCCTCCTCTGTGGCGCCAAGTTCTGCGAGCTGGAGCTTGGGTTTTGGCCAGTCTGAGAAGACCAAGAGAAAGATGGTGGATTCAGATTCATCTGCAGTGGAAAGGTGGAGGTTATGGAAAGCTGGATCGTTGATTGAGGCGAGCCAGGATCGTGATACGAGTTTGCATTCCTGGAGAGTTTGTATGGGTTGCCTGGAAAGTATGTCGTGGAAGAGGGCTTTGGGGAGCTTATGAATTGATGATTCTTCCATGGTGTAAGAGACTGAGAAGGATGATATGGAAAAACTGTGAAACTTTTTAGCTTCTTGTCTCTGGTTTTGAAGTTTGGGTAGAGGCCAGGTTGGTTTTACTAGTGACGGGATCAAGAAATGCTTTAGGAGTGACGATTTCAACAAGACCTTCATTTTGTTTTTAGCCTAACCCAATTATAGTTTCTCACGAGTAGCATCCAAAAACAAAAACAAAAGAGTGTAGTTGAATCCAAAGTTAAGAGGTAATTGCAATTAGGGGTATGGAATGGTTTAGTCCACTATATTGAACCATATTCAACCGAATATGATGTGATCTGGTTATTGATTCTATGAATTTTATAATACTGAAGGAAAATCGACCTAATCAAATTTGATAGAATGCAGCGTTAGATTCGACTCTTAGTTCTAAGATGTCTTTTACTATTGGATCGCGGTTTTCATGAATTTGCACTATCCGAACCATTACACACCTCTAATTGTGATGATCTATTCAATGGAATAACTCGAGTTGTTACGAGGTAATTCATATCGATTATTGTTTGAAAAGGCACTGCCGAAATTGATAAATGATGAATGATTTTAGTAATTACTCTCAAAGTATGATACTACCTCGAGAAGGATACCCTCATTCTAATCAAAGATCCTCCAAAATTTTGTTATATGTCGAGTTTTATCCGATTACAAATTACTAGAGATTTTTTTAACAAATAAGTAACTGATATATGGTACAAATGATTACATGATAACCATTTGAACAACCCGAATAAAATACTAACATTCAACAAGAAAAATACCCCAACAAAAAAAAATGAAAGTGACAGCAAGGCAAGGGCAAGAAAGTGACAACTGTCACACTGGGAAAACATGATTGGCTGAGGACGACCAGAGCCTGATCCTAAATGTATATATTTTGGTAGATATCAGATAAGGTGATAAGGCCACGTGTCACCATTTCCAATCACCTCCCCTGCCCTTTCCTTTCCTCCTCCACTCTAAACCTTCTTCTTCTTCTCCTCTTCAATTCAATCTCTCCATTACCAACATTTCCACCATATCCAATACTTCACAATGAGCTTGGCATCTCCCACCACCACCACCACGCTCCTCTCCCCAACTCCCCTCTCCCCCTCCAAGCCCAAACTCCAACCGCTCTCCGCCGCCCTCCAGCCACACGCGCCGCCGCAACAATCCCTCACTCGCCGCCACTTGCTATCCTCTGTTTCCGCCGCCGTATGGCTGGTGGCGATCTCCCCGCGGGCCGCGGTGGCGGCGTCGGACGAGGAGTACGTGAAGGACACGGAGGAGGTGATCGGGAAGGTGAGGACGACGATCACGCTGGACCGGAACGCGCCGAACGTGGCCGACGCGGTGGCGGAGCTCAGGGAGACGTCCAACTCGTGGGTGGCAAAGTACAGGAAGGAGAAGGCCCTGCTGGCGCGTGCGTCGTTCAGGGACATGTACTCGGCGCTGAACGCTGTCTCCGGTCACTACATTAGCTTCGGACCCACGGCGCCGCTGCCGGCGAAGCGGAGGGCCAGGATTCTGGAGGAGATGGATACCGCCGAGAAGGCGTTGCTGAGGGGCAGATAAAACAGAGACCACTCTGTTTTTCCCCTGTTTTTTCCATCCTTGAGTTTGTAAGTTTGAGAAGATTAAGAAGCATAAAATTTGTTGAGGCTGGGTTCTTGGAATTAAGCTTTAATGCTATACGAGAACGTCCATAATGCAATGAGTAATGTATGTGTATTCTTGCTTAGTTGCTTTCGTAATGTAAACCAACTACGTACGAGATACTCATACTAGCATCTATGAAGGAAATGAACATGATGGTGAAACCGTACCGGTGATTCGACGGTAAAAATCTTCTTTTGGAGTTTGAATTGGTGGGTGGGTGGTTTTTAGCATTATGAAATGGTTGTATCATGATTTTCATTACAAATTATCATATTTGCTCAATTTCCCAGTAAGGTTTTACAATCTCTGGTTTGGATCATTTCTCTGTATAATAGATTGTCAGGCTTGTTACTTGTTAGTCAGTTTGTTATGATCGTCGATTCGGTTATCAGTTAATCATTACGTAATTTTTGCTGACGGTTGGTTGACCCGTTTATATTAGTCTACTAACTATAATCATAATGTTAATTATTGATTATTATACTTAATCGACCAACAGTTAAAGATTAAACCAAAATAACGATGACGATTACTCATTGAACAACAATAAAAGATGCCACATTCGATGAAAAATAGGTCAAATTTCTCTGTCAAATTCGTGTCAACCCAGAAATCCCATCTGACCAAACCCAAGCTCATCCCGCCAATCAATTTCTTTATTTCCCACCTTTTCCATCCGGCAGAACGAGTCTCTCTGCCGGCTCAGTCATACTCATTACCTCGCCTTTTGCGCTCTGAACCAACCTCTGCCGGCCGGAAAACTGCTTGAGAGAATTTTGATCGACCATGGCGGGAACGGCACCGGTGAAGAGAATAAAGCTGGGATCACAGGGACTCGAAGTTTCAGCTCAGGGACTTGGATGCATGAGCATGTCGCCTCTGTTCAACCCTCTTAAGCCCGAACCTGAAATGATCGCTCTCATCCGCCACGCCGTCAACTCCGGCGTCACTTTCCTTGACACCTCCGATGTCTACGGCCCTCACAGAAACGAAATCCTTCTGGGAAAGGTTTCAATTTTCAGCTACCCAATTCAATTCTTGGTTCTGGGTCTGCCTTCGACTTTTGTTTTCCCCCAGCTCTGTTGGGAGTTGGTTGATTTCGATTTCTTGGCTGTTTGCAGGCTTTCAAAGGAGGGTTCAGGGAAAGGGTTGAAATCGGTACTAAATTTGGTCGTCTATTTCTGGATGGTAAGATGGCGATTCGTGGAGATCCCGATTATGTAAGAATTGCTTGTGAGGGTAGCTTGAAGAGGCTGGAGATTTGATTGTATTGACCTTTATTATCAACACAGAGCTGATATCACAGTGCCAATTGAAGCCACGGTTCGTTAATCTTTAGGAATTTTTTCCTTTCACTTTTAGGATATCACTTTTGGGTTCTTCGAATTTGTCCATTCTACCTCCTGATTGTTCATATCTGTTTTTGGGGGGAAGAAGATGGGGGAATTGAAGAAACTGGTTGAGGAAGGTAAGATTAAGTATATAGGTCTTTCTGAGGCTTCTGCTTCAACAATCAGGAGGGCTCATGCTGTTCATCCCATCACGGCGGTGCAGTTGGAGTGGTCGTTGTGGTGTAGGGATGTGGAGGAAGAGATTGTCCCTACTTGCAGGTGATCAGCCATTGATGATCACCCTTAACTTGAAAAAGAGTTTACTTTTCTCATGTATAGTAACTAACTATGTTCTTGTGTTTGCTAGAGAACTTGGAATTGGGATTGTTGCATACAGCCCTTTAGGCCGTGGATTTCTTTCTTCTGGGCCTAAGGTGGCTGAAAATTTTGATGGCAACTTTCTGAAGGTTTGGAAACTGTACATTGAATCTTTTGGCTATACAATTAATCTCTGCTTCTATAGAAGCTAGCCTTTAAAATCTTGTTCTTCAACAATGTGGCAGTACCTCCCGAGGTTTCAGCCTGAGAATATGGAGCACAACAAAGCCATATTCGAGAGGGTGGACGAAATCGCGAGGAGGAAAGGATGCACTCCTTCGCAGCTGGCGCTCGCTTGGCTGCATCACCAGGGAGATGATGTGTGTCCTATCCCAGGAACGACCAAGGTCGAGAACTTTAACCAGAACATTGGAGCTTTGTCTGTGGAGCTGACAGCAGAAGAGATGGCTGAACTGGAATCCATTGCTGCAGCTGGTGCTGTGAAGGGTGATAGGTATGGTGAAGGTATATTGACATTCAAGGATTTCAACACTCCGCCTCTTTCGTCGTGGAAGCCCACTGGTGTATGAAGAATTGCCCCCCAAGGCTAGGTTTGCTCTTTAATGTGAAGTACAATTATTTTGTAATGTTTACATTGTATGATTTGAAGAATCTGGGGATAAAATTTTAATCTTTAATGTGAAGTACCATTTTCTAGGTATAGAATTAGAAGGATGGAATTGTACAATCATATCCTTTTTTTTTTTTGGGTAGAATCATATGAAATTCTGACTTCAATAAGTGTTGGATATAAATTCCGTTCCTTTGTTGATATGCCAATCGTCTATAATTAATATTTCATTAACAACATATGCTAGTGTCGTTATAAAATTATAAAAGTGCCACATTGTATGAAAATAGATCGAATTCCTCAATAAATCCTTTATCATTTGGACGATTCCTAACAAATCACAATTGATTTACTAAGATTACTATTTATTATTTAAACACATAAACAAGGCTCATTTGTTTCCTTTCCTTACTCACCTCTTCTAGTTATAAGATACAAATTTCAGAAACTGAGGTTCGTTTGGAGAACAAGATTTGGATTATGGATTTATTGAATCCATAGATTTAGTAAAATGTTATGTTTTTTTGTTATATTTTGTATAGTGGATTGTAGGTTTAGAGATTTTAAATCTCTAAAATCTAGAGATATCAAATCTCTCATAATTAGAGAGTTTCTACATCTTGATTTTGGAGATTTTCTTTCTCCTACTATATCTCTTCTTTTTTTCATTTATCCCACTAAATACCCTTATCAATAAATTCTTAATAGTTTTCGAGCCAATCTAATTATGTTGGTTAAGGATAAACATGTCATTTAATACAAAAATAGAATTTCTTTTTTCATTGGATGTTAACAATCGTAGTTACCAAACAATGAACATTTTCAAATCTTTTTCCAACAATCCGGAGAGTTAAAATCCTTGGATTGTCTAGAATCTATAGATTTAGACTCCAATTCTCCAAACGAGCCCTCAGACTCCGACAATGTTATGAGAATTTCAAATCATGTTAAACAAACAATATCAGTTTTTGTATATATTTTCAAGATATACTTCTCCGACAACAATAGCTCTATTTAAACCATGATTCATGAGTTTCACTCTCATGAGAATAGAGTAATTGGTTTTTTTTTTTGCCATAGATATTCCGAGAGGAATAGCAAGTTACAAGAATATACAAGACCAAGAAGGTCAGGAAGAAGAAAAAAGAGCAAAACGATGGTCAACAAGATGCTGAACCATCGATGAAAGGGCCTGTATTGCCACGGTATGGGCAGCCCTGTTATACCTACGCGGAGCGAAATGAAACGAAACGCGAGAGAATAGAGTAATTAGTTAGGAATTAGGAATTAGGATGCTTAAATGCATTATCTTAAAATATAAAAAAAAAATGAAAAGGAAAATTCTAATGCCCGCCCACTAAACATGGGCCCAAGCCCAGCCCGCCAATCAATTCCCTTATTTATTTCCCACCTTGCGTATCTTTGCCGGCTTAGTTAGTCATATACTTCGCTGCTGTTCTCTGAAAGAATCTTTCGCCGGCCGGCGAAACTGACCAGATTGACCATGGCGGTAACGGCACCGATGAAGAGGATAAAGTTGGGATCACAGGGGCTCGAAGTATCAGCTCAAGGACTTGGCTGCATGAGCATGTCCGCCATCTACGGCCCTCCCAAGCCTGACCTTGAAATGATCGCTCTCGTCCACCACGCCATCAACTCCGGCGTCACTTTCCTCGACACCGCCGATGCTTATGGCCCTCACATAAACGAAATACTTCTGGGAAAGGTTGGTTTTTTCAGTCTTTCTAATCCAATTCTGCTTCTGGGTCTGCTTTGATTCGTTTCAGGAGGGGTTGATTTGATTGTTTTTTCGCAGGCTCTAAAAGGAGGGGTTAGGGAAGGAGTTGAACTGGGTACTAAATTCGGTGGTGTATTTGAGGATGGGAAAAGGGAAATCCGTGGAGATCCTGCTTATGTAAGAATTGCTTGTGAGGCTAGCTTGAAGAGGCTGGAGATTGATTGTATTGATCTTTACTATCAGCACAGAGTTGATATCCGAGTGCCCATTGAAGCCACGGTTTGTCTGGGTTTCTTGAATTTTTCCCCAATTATGCTTTAGTTAAACATGGGTCTTAGCTTTAGGTTCTCTAACTTTGGTTATCTTTTGTTCTGGGAGAAAAGATGGGGGAGTTGAAGAAACTAGTTGAGGAGGGTAAGATCAAGTACATAGGACTTTCTGAGGCGTCTGCTTCAACGATCAGGAGAGCTCATGCTGTTCATCCCATAACGGCAGTGCAGTTGGAGTGGTCGTTGTGGTCTAGGGATGTGGAGGAAGAGATTATCCCAACTTGCAGGTCAGCAGCCATTGATGAGGAATAGTGATTTCAACTTGAAAAGGGTTCAATTTTTCTCATAGTTTGTTCTTGTGCTTGCCAGAGAACTTGGAATTGGGATTGTTGCATACAGTCCTCTAGGCCGTGGATTCTTTTCATCGGGGCCTAAGGTTGCTGAAAGTTTTACTGAGGGTGATTTTCGGAAGGTTGGCAACACTTGCATCATCAGATTTCTGTTTAGTACTGAATCTTTGGTCATTGCAATTATCTCCATTTCATAGAGAAGCCTTAAATCTTGTTCTCCACATTTGGCAGTATCTCCCGAGGTTTCAGCCTGAGAATTTGGAGCACAACAAAGCCATATTCGAGAGGGTCAACGACATTGCAACAAGGAAAGGGTGCACTCCATCTCAGTTGGCACTTGCTTGGGTGCATCACCAGGGAGATGATGTGTGCCCGATTCCAGGAACAACCAAGATTGAAAACTTCAATCAGAACATTGGAGCTTTGTCCGTGGAACTGACACCAGAAGAAATGACCGAACTCGAATCCATTGCTGCATCAGATGCTGTGAAGGGTGATAGATATGGGGAAGGTATATTGACATTTAAGGATTCCGACACTCCACCTCTTTCGTCGTGGAAACCCAATGTCGAGTAATTTCCCAAGGCAATGTGCAGTTCTACACTTGTTTGTTCACTTGAATCGTCTTCTTTGTTCTGCTCTGTGATCCTGAGGATGTGAAAAGTCCTGGAAGGATTTGTGTAGAGTGGTTAATATTGTATGTTGATTGTAGGCCACAGCCGCTGGACAGGTTGTATTCCTATGAGCGAGTTGAATATTGTACTCATTTGGATTTTGGGTCTTTGTTTATCTTTTGACCAACTTTATACAAGGAAAAGTAATAGATGAAACTGACAAGCAGCCAGCCAGGTTGGATTACCAGTTGGAAAGGTGCCTTGTAAAGAAAGTTCCAAACAACAGCCACTTGGAAACTCGGTTATTGCCAACCTGCAGTAGATTGACTTTGTCTTCTTTAGGTTCAATCCTCCTCTTTCAGTATATCCGCACCTTCTGCTTATATAGTACATAGTGATAGAAACACTATTTCTGAAACTCAAATCGTGCAGAATTACCACAGTTTTTTTAGCAGGGAATCATGGCAACAACGGTGAAGAGGATCAAACTGGGCTCGCAGGGTCTTGAAATCTCTGCTCAGGAACTCGGTTGCATGAGCATGTCTGTCTTCTAAGGTCCTGCAAAGCCAGAGCCTGATACGATTACAGTGACTCGAAGGGGCATGGGCTCCAGGAAGCTCGCTAATTTCCTTCGCCATGGTGGAGTCTTGTTCAACAAACGCTGGTGGTCTTGTTCAGTTTCTAAAAATGGGTTCCAAACTCTCTGCCGTTGTTCCAGTGCTTGACGAGGTTCTGGATCGAAGCTTGTAGGGAATCAAGGGAGATGCTGGAGCTGGTGTCGGCAGGAAACTGATGCTTGGTAACTTGTATGCTGATGCTGGTGGAACCATCCTGTACAGCTTGGTTCATTGCGGTTCCTTCTTTAGGCTATTGGGTGGAATTGCCCATGTTGATGCAATAGTCCATGGGGCTCAAATCCAGAATTTATTAGACATATTCGAGTCATTTGGTCACTTCATCAATACAGAGTTTTGATCTAGAAAGTGTGACAAACAAGTCACCTGAATCCATCTCGAGTCATTGACTCATTTTCATTTACTCAGGTTGTTTTCATGGCAGCAGGAGAACCTAGTGGTCAGGTAATCGAATCTCATCGACTACCAACGAATGTATTACCATTTAGCGTCAAAATACGACTACCTTGCATCGCGTACAGAAGTACGTAGCAAAGAAGAAACGATTCTTTACAGCAGGGGAGGCAACAGCCAACAGATGACGGAGATATAGATGAAGATAAAGTACACAGAATCACCACTTCCATAGCTCCACTCCAACCCAAGTTATATGACTCATCGCGCATTCGACTTGTGACAGTATTTTTATGTAGTTATATGGTATCATCTATACAAGAAGGTCTAACAACCAGACGGACCCAGAAGTTCAATTATTCTCACCTTTTTTTTCAAGTCACCATCTCTCACTTTTACCACATTCCTCAACCAAAATCCCCCCTAGCAACACCACCTTCTAAATTATAAGGACCTCCAACCACTGAAGGATTACAAAACAAACAAGAAATCAAAACATCTCATCCCTTGAACCCTTCCCTAGGTCCTTTCCCTTCCAACTACAGGCAACCCCCCTTATTCTAACATCATCACAAGCAGGAATCCAGATACCCGTAGCTATGCCGTCTGTTATACTGTAGCAAGCTCGCATATGTCCGGTCCCATATTCCTATGTATAACGACTCGTCATCTGGGCTGAGTGCTACTCCTGATATCTCGCCGAAGAAGTCCACCTCTTGCCTTCTCTCGTAGTTTTGTTTCGTGCTATATACGTGCACGAAATCGGCGGGCTCGGCCACCACCATGAACTGGCCGTCCGATGAGAATCGGATTGACCGTACTGCTCCTAGGTTGCCCTTCAGGGTTGCCACGGGGGACGACAAGTTCCTAATGTCCCATACGCGACATGTCTTATCCTGATTCCCTGTTGCAAAAACGAGGCCATTGGGATGCCATGCCGAGGCGAAAGAGTAATCTAGATGGCCTGCCATCGTGGATACCGTCTGCATAAGAAACGAATAATGATTCAGACATCAGTTCCTTACTTCACATCCAAGTAACCAAGACTCAAAGCAAAACTTTGGTCTGTTTCTCCAACTTTCCAAAATTATAGGATAACAGGTACAAGTATTTCACAACTAAATCCCATAATCTTAATTTTTTTGAGCTGGCACCAAGACAGTAATCACCCTTTCCAGAAAAGGAACGAAACAGGTATGACTTTAGAGACACAAAAACTACACACAAACAAAATGTTCGAAAAGAGGTCAACTCCCTGTACCTTTCCATTTTGGGAATCAACCAGCAGTCCATCCAAGTTATCGCCAACAACAGTAACCAGTCTTTTGTCAGGGCTAATTGATGTATGCTGCATAATGTTAAGCATGCATCAGCCATCACGTCAGCTTCTTACAAACAGACTAAGCAAACTAAACAAATTAACCAGTCCACAGCCACTTTGTTGGCCAAAAGGACTCACATTCACTGGCCAAGGGAACAAGAAATGATTCAGGAGCTGAAACCTCTCCATATCATATTCCCTCACACCACAATCGTTGTTGGCTGCCATGAAGTGAATTCCACCACTGTATAAAAACCAAGAAGATTCCCAGATAAACTCGTATTCCCCCTGAACAAAGTGAAAACACATAAATTCATCGAAGCGATCAGCCTACCTCAAGCCATCGTATATTTCAATGGAGTTTGTAATGGCATTATCGTCATAGGTAGTGCGGGTGCAAAAGCTAACTCCTTGTTTACCTAAACGCTGCACCAGATTAAACCAGCAATCTTATTAGTCCAGAGTTTCTAAACAGCAAAAAGGTTCATACACGCTGAAGAAAGAAAACAGCACGAAGAATATCCTGGGAAAACAAATAATGTAGCTATAGAGACAGAAAATACAAATCAACTGACCTTGCAAGTAAGCTCTCCCTGGAAGCCCCCTGCAACTAAGAAATTATCTTTAACAGCTAAAGTGCTTATTTGAGTTTGTGTGAAACCTTCCAGCAAGCTTCCTGAATGTTTCTGTTTTGCCAAACAATCAACAGGTAGTAATACTCAGGATCAAAGCCACACAATGTTGACAACTAGGAAAAAGAACTCATTTTTCCACCGATTGTCAGAAATTATAGAGTAAGAAAAGGTACCTCATCAGGGGCTACATGCCCTGCAAAATTAATGACCTCAGATAAGTTGCAAGACAATGATGACCAGTGCATGACGGAGTAGTTAGACATCAGATACACATCATGTTTTGAAGTAGCCCAAACCAAGTTCCTTAGCTGCAGAACCATGCATCAAGGAATTAGTCAAATGGCAAATACAATTCTGGGGACATCAAAACCCATCTAATCCAAATGCAGGAACAAGAAGGCACATCACACAATTATATCCGCGATTAAGAAAATGAGAAATGTCAGTCAACATCAACATTCATCTATGATAACCTGCGTAGAGAAAATCGACCACATTCCAATAAAATAATGTCTAATCTGGAACTTTTACATCAACACAGTAGCAAAACCAAATTGAAATAAACAGGATGAAATGATACCCATAGAATCAGAGAGAGCCTTGATGTTAAATAATTGAGTCTTATCATCTAGAACATAATTTAAGAAACAGATCCCTCCTTCAAATTGGAGAGCTAAATAAACTAAAATGAATTACCTAGTCTTACCTTTTTGTCCCCTACAATATGAACAGGAAAACTTGGCAGTGCTTACTTGCCTATTTGTGGAGTAGCACCATATTTAGCAGAATGATTAACATTAAGTAAAAAAAATGGCATTCAAGCAGCAATAAGCTAACTATCCTTGAATTAAGCACATCATTGAAAATTGCAGGCATCCACACTACATAGCCTGCAATAGCTAACAAATGGAACAGTACATAACACGATAAGTCTTGGATTCACATTCAGATATGTTTAGAAATTGAAAAGGAGACACTAAGCTGCTTCTTTTCCACAGTGAACAGAGGCTACTCAGAGCAACAAAATGAACAACTCATCACAAGAGGTTTCCCAAAACGAGCAGCGTGTGTTGAACGCGACAACAAACCTGGAAATGAAGAATTGTGGGTTTGACCAATCGAGTATTGTAGAAGAATTCATAGAAGTTGGCCCCCTTATCTGTTGGTTTACAAGCCTACAAGCAATAGACAAGACAGATCAGACAACCTTATTATCTATATACTCCATCTTACTTCAACAAAAACAGCAGAACTAAACCTTATCAACAAATTCCCCAGACAAAGGGATGTTTTCGTAGTTCTTATACTGTTCAAGCCTTGTCAATCTGTACTTCTCTCTGGTTATGTTCAATCTTTCCCATGGAATACCCTGTATATCTTTGCCCATCCTAGCTTGGGCAGAAGATGTGTCGGTCACCTTGGTAAGCTACAGACAAAATTCCAACGTAAGGAATCAAAAAGCTTGTCACTTGGGGTACAACATCTAGCTAACTGGATGATGAACCAAGGGAAGAAAGAAAGGAAAGCAAACCATGTCATATTCATCAGCCTCCATTTCCACATCAACTCCACCTCCAGCCGCCGCAGCCCCATAGTTGTCTTCATCGATTTCATCAACGAAATCAGCCATTTCAGCTTCTTCTGCCATGTAATTCAACTCACCCGATTGGTGTCTCTCGTGGGACATGGCCGACTCCTGCGTTTATCAAAGCAACAACCCCTCATTTAGAAACCATAAAGCTAAGTGCTTTGCAAATACCCACTGATCAAATTTGCAACAACCATAACCCCAAACCAATTAAACAACATCAGGCAAAAAGTTCACAAAAGGTATCATTCCCAAAATTCAGAAACCCTAGCCAAAAAAAATCCAGAAACCTAAAACAAGGAAAGAACAATACATCCTCTCCCGCTAAGGATTCCAGCCAACTAGAGGAAAAGGTAGCAGATGAAAATCAATTGGAATTGACTTTCTAAGCAGGGAACGAATTGAGAATCTACCAAACTTGATTCTAGAAGTTGGAATACCGGCAACCCAATGAGAACCACAGAGAAAAAGGAAGGGAGAAGAAGCCAGGGCCAAGTAATGTAAAATTTTGCAAGGTAAAGGAAGATCTAGAGTGGGGGAAGGGACGATAAGGTGTTACCTTCTGAATCTTACTTGCCAATACAGTTCGTTGAATTAAATCGGCGAGGAAGACGAATGAGGAGAGAAGAGATAGACACAATTGATGATTTGATGGCGATGGCGATGAACTAAACGGGAGAGAGAGAGAGAGAGAGAGAGAGAAAGGACGGTTCTTGGGATTTTGTTAGCCTTTGCCTGGTAAATGGTAAAAAATGAAACAGGGAAGGAGGAAGGAAATGGAGGAATTGTGAGGGGTAGGGGAAAATTGATGCTTTAGGACTTTTGGCAGCTTGGGTTTTGTTGTTGTTTGGGAGGTTTAATAATGTTTTTAAATATTTACCAAAATACTTTAAACAAATATTAGCAATTAATTATCAAATATTGTTGTAATTAAGCATGAAAAAATGTTATAGTCTAATATCAAAGTTTCTATAATTTTTCAAATTATACAAAATTATAAAGAATATGATTGAACTTATGCAAATCATTTACGAGATTCAATTATCTACAAATGGATTTGATTCAATCGGTTGTGCTTGATTGATCATTTTTTTTAATTTAAATTTCTATCGATCTTTTAAATATAAGTGAAAACTAACATGATCTTACTTTATTATATTTTCTAGATTTTGAAGTTAAGTGAAACTTCAAAGCTTGTGAAGTTATTTTAGCGCTTCAACCTTGCGGTGGCCTTAACTTGGTAAACAAATCAAATCCCTAATAGGTCATGAAGTCTTACAGCAGAGAGATATTCCATTATCGACTTGGTGATGAAATAAGCACAAAGTAAGTGACAATGAGATTTATCACTAAGCACACATACGCGGAAATTGGTTACAACTTTGCAACCCAGCCAAATTTTTTATCTGGAATGACAAATCGATTATAAATAGCAAAACCTCATCTACACAACTGTATGTCTTCGAGTACCAATCTCCGCACTTCCTGAGAAAGCTAATTGGCAACCACTTTGCGAATCCTGTAGCTTTTATTGTTTGCAAGTGCAAACTCACACCCAGATTCCAACTTCATCTATCAAGCTTAACCTTATGGAGAACTCGACGGGATGGGTTTGATCGCCCATCGAACTTCAACATGGCAAGCATGAGGAAACATGATAGTGGTAGATCTTCCTGCATAGCCACAACCACAATGGTTTAAAATAAGCAACACATAAAAGAAGAGGACGATCCATTGTTTATAGTCCACGACTAGACAAATAACAATGATCATCAACATTCTTTCATCATTTCTTAACCTTCTAGTGCCATGTCGAGAACTTGATTGCTCTCAATGTTATAAAACTTGAGAAATGACCCTTTTTTACCAACAAGATTGTTCACCCATGAACTTTTTCTTTCAAAAAGCTATTCCATTGGTTGCCTAGAAATCCTTCCTATCCCATACCATGAAAACCCAAAAGAGAATCTACCGTTTGGGGAATTGGCCTAATTTTTTTTGCATGAATTGGAATGTGTGATATTCGTCTTGGTGTTTTATGGATGGGAAAATGAGAACCGAACAAGAAGACAAGAAGATGAATGTGAGAATATGTGATTGTCATGTGAGGCAAAGAATAGATAAGGGAAGAGGGAGACAACATGATCGATTTGCCAAAGTTAAGTAGTGCTTCCCCACCACCACCTACTCCTATCATATCATTTTAGCATCGTAATACTACAGAGCATGTAATTGCAGTGTTGAACAGAGAGCTAGCCAAACATCTTATCATGCCACTATACTCGAGTGGCAATGGTTGTCGTCGTAACAATTGTATGTAAGAATCGTTCTTCCGTTGTTTACTATTACAAATTATCGTCACAATTGATATTAGTTGTTATACTAACGTGCTACTTTTAGATTTGGGTGACGCTTTGATTTACTTAAGAGCACATAAACTTGGTAATAAAGTGTTGTTGTCATATCGGGTATTTTCCGCCTTTATTCATTTTGTTTACTCCCTTGGGAAACAATGACTCGTCCATGCAATACTTTCTAAACACAGTGATAAATTAATTTTGAACTAATTGCAAGTTTGGTCACTGTAATTACTAAATAATTTCACGTCTCTCACTCAAATTAGTTTATTCCATTCATAGTCACAAAAATTAGTTCAACAGTTCAAGTTTGGTCACTCTCCGTTAGTCTCCGTTAACTTTCACCTAAAGCAAAACTTGTACTAAATCTATTTTTTAGGTCGGATTTTTTTTTTTTTTTAAACTGAGCATTTAACGCACGTTGTGATAAATATGAGTCTTGTGAGCACATTTTCACGTATTGATTGTGAGCATTATAGTCGAATTGAATATTTGTATTCGAATGTTTTCTTTTGTTGTTATGTGTGAAAGATGCTCTGTTTCTTTCTAAAGCACGATGATAAACGAAACAATGGCCCAACAGCACATCATTATGATTCGAAAACCAAAACACTCCCCTCCCAAATGACCAACATAATAAGTAATAATTGTTTCTTTGCCCTTTGTTGCGGTATGTTGTAGGCAATATTTACCTCCTCTCCTTCATTAGAGGTCTTTCATTTTTCCTTTACCAATATATATAAGATAAAGGTAGAGCACGACTATGACGTATGATATACGCTAGTGTTTATACTATAATACGAGTTAATATCGTGTCTAAATTTCTGTAATTCATGGTTTAAATAGCAAAACTAGAAAGTTCATCAAATTCAATGCCAATAATTTTGCTCGGTTCTTATGTTTCTCGCTCACAAACCAAACTTACAAAAAACTGGCCGAATCTAAATCAATTTGGTAACGTAAAAAGATCGTTGCGTGAGGCAAATAAACTATCAAAGGTATACACAAATAACTTTATATCACCCAATGCAAAAAAATCTCAGAAACCATTCATAATTTCTTTCATCCGTTTTTATGTATGTGGATGTCGTTTATTATTATTAAACAATAGAAGAATTATAACTGTTATTAGGATGGTTTTGCATGCTAGCATTTAATCCATTGAGATTGAGTGTCCTTTCTTGTTTTAAACTTTCATCAAGCTCCATGAATATACAAAATTTTGTACCTAAAGAAATACAATCATTCACATCACCATCAAATTAATCATGCCCCCCTCTACCCCACCCCACCCCACCCTACCTCTCCACTCACATTCACATATTTTCAAGACACATTTTGTTGTTTTATGTGCTATAATGATGCCTCCATCACACAAAAAATAAAAGTTTTACTTTAGCTTCCTACAATATACTCGATTAGTTCAACAAGAGAAAATTATCATATTCTTTTTCTTAATCCAAATCAAGCAATGCAATGCCGCGTAAGTTGGCAACAAGTTTGCTAGATGACGCATAAATGAATAATGCCTTCCGAAAGTCCCCGCCGTTATGGGAAAGCTGATCATAGCATATTATTAGTCATTTAAAAGAAGCTTGAGGAACGCAGACACAAGACCTGACCCATCGATTCCATTACCGATTTCTCTCAATGAAGATCTCATATTTTGAATCTCGAAATAAACTTACCCTCTCCCAAACATCTCCTTCAATAACATGCAAATTCACAAGAGTACAGTCACCATGGTGTCATATATCTCTCTATCTAGATCGCTATCCCAGATCTAAGATTTAGTGAATCAATGGCAATTTATAAATTAATAACAACTAAAATCCTCGGCCGGCAAGGAAGTGAATGGGGATGAGCACAAGAAACAAGGTTTAAGTTGGATGCAATCAAATTATGTTATCCACAGGACCACAGACAACAACAAGAAAGGTGAGTAAGGCCCGCCAACACAACTAACTAGTCCTTGACCAACCAACCTCATCTCATCTCAATCCACAAAGATTAAAAACTTCAAACTCTCCACAAGAGAGAGAAGACAACTTTTTGGTGATATGCTATATGTCGTCAGATTACTAGTATGTCGGCCTGTACAACAGGGTTCAGAACCCGTATTAGACAAATACCGATTGGAAGACCGTCGAGATTCTCGAACCATTAGTCCATTACAAACAATTTTATGTCCTTCCAAGTAGGCTTCAGGTAATATGTACTTATTGCAATTCAACCATAATCACAATTAACCATGAATGATATAACACCAACCACAACATATTATAAAAAGAACATTTACAAATATCACAAGATCAATTCCATTCAATCATATCTATCTATACGCATCAGCAATTCAGCCTATCAATAAGTCTCCAAAATGCTGCCAAGAAAGAGTCTCAAATTCAGTAGACAGACACTGGCCCAATTGGAGGGCTGAATTGAGATTCCTAACAGTGGGGGGAACAGTTTTCATTAATTTCTCCCCAATCCCCATGTGCACAACCTTCAATCCGGCTCCCGACTAAATAAGGACAAGTATAACGACATGCTTACACGTTATTAGCCGTCCGATTCATACATCTAAAATACAACTCAACAATCTGATTCTCAATCGGACGGCTAAATGAGGTAAGCTTAGAGTCGTGCTTACACAGTCTCGGCCATCCGATTCTTGCATCCCGAATGCGACTCAGCAATCTGATTCTCAATCGGACGGCTAAGAAGGTACAATCCCCCCCAACTTTCCACGTTGCTACTAAAACAAAGTAAAGGGGCACAGGACAGTTAGGTCTGTCCCCCTATTTTCTTATGTTACATCCGAAACCCAATCGAATTATTCAAGTGATAAGTGACGACAACAACACAGCAACACCATGTTCCTTTCGTAGAAAGGAAAGCAACGAACTTAGCTACTGACAGCTGTTCTTCCTTTGCTCCATAAATAGCTACAATTCATTATAACATGAAACGACAAGATAACGAGGAATGCACGAATGAGAAGCTTACCCGTCAACCAGCCGCAATGAATGAACTTTGATTGCGCCATGGCTACGGCCTACGTGGACAGGGGACCGGGGCTTACTTTGCAGACTTCTGCATCGAATCCCAAGTCCATTAGCAGGAGCAGCCATGCTCGCTGCTGTTCAGAAAGAATGTCTCGAGGGCCTTTCACCTCGACGAGCTTCACTTCTCCTCTGTAGTTGTCATGGAAGCGCCAGAGCAGTAAGTCCGGCATCCCACTAGACCAGCTCCGGTAATCTTGGGCGAGATGGCGGCAGAGGGAAGCCAAACAACGGCCGCCTGTACAGGTCACTACAGCACGAAGTTCGGACAGGGAATGGCGCTCCCAGTTTACGCCTCTGCAGGCTGTTCCTGAGTTCAGCTCCCATGAGGTTATGAGGATCTCCTCGGCCATGCCATCGTGGACTTTCTGCAGTTGCGATTCTATTGCGCTCTTTCTTGCAGTGTAGAAGCCATCGGTATCCAAATCCAGGGGAGCAGTCTGCATGGGAAAGAATGTTGAGTTTCTTAGACATCTCAAGTGAAGTCGAAACAAATTAATCCACTTGACAGACGGAACAGTAAACCAATGATACCATTCTCCTAGCTTGCCACAAGGCCTCAAACCACTAGGTTGGATACATACATATAGATAAGGGCCATAAGGGGTGTGCAACGATTCAGTTCGCTCCAGACTATATTCAAATTTGAACAAAATCTGACTAGATTGAACATAGTATGATTCAATTTGGTTCTACAGATCCTCTTAAAAGCAAAGAAAAAGCCAGACCCAATTAGAAGTGGTCTGACTGGATGCACTTTTGATCTGGCTTTGAAACTCTTTTCTTTTTATATTTGATCCATTTGTCGACCAAATTGGACCATCCTCACTCCTGCATATAAGCATCACAATCAATCATCCCAAGATCTTGACCGATAAACTAAGAAAGTATACCTGAAATTTATTGTAGAAGACATTTGGCACATCAGAGAACATCACATCCCACATAAGAAGCCCAAAAATGGTCAACCATATACCAGACTCTGTATGAACACCCTGCCATCCACCACCTTCCCCAGCATAGTACTGCAGAGCAAGTTGTTCAACTCCACACTGATCGCCATCTTCTCCGTAGAACCTGCTCTTCACTCCAGTCTCAGAATTCAAAGGCCTCCCAAGAATATGGACCTATATAAACAATTTAGGGACAATAATTGAATAGCTGTGACTTCATTGCAAACTGTAAAGGATGGCTTTGACCAACAGTAAGAAACGTCTACTTATAGTAATACATAAAAAAGATGCACTCACTTCTCTGATCTTCCTCTTGAAAGAATCTGCAAAACTAGGAGGTTTCCAGCGCCTTGGTGGTTTTGCCAGGCGGATGACTCTCCTTTGTAAAGCCATTTTTGAACCAGCACGTACCCACGGATCCAGTAACCCATTTTCAGCAGTTGTCAAACTCTCATTTGGACAACTGATGTGTTCTAAATCAATGGACAATCTTAAGGTCCAATATCCTCTTCTTCCATCACAAGTAAAACAACTGAGCAACAGCTTCAGCAAACTGATTGCTTCATTGTACCTGCACAAATGAAGGCTCAAGGCTTATATATTACTTAGGGTGAAATTCTGTCACTGCATCTAAAAGTGAGAGTAAAGAGTATTTTCATCCAAGCTTATAGGATATCATGCTCACAAGGAAAATAAACTACCAAGTTAACTTGACAGCAATGCAATTTGTATTTATTACCATTGGCTAGCCGTTAGAATCCCTTTTATACTATATTAAAACTTCATCAATAAAGAATCTAAAATGCTAGGAAGTCATCCTTATAGGACTGGCAAAAAGGAAGCAACTTCCGAAATAAAAACAAAATTTGGTCATTCAAGTTTTTAAATAAACTTATTTTTATTCAGTAAAACACTGAATTTTGTTTTCTTATCCAGTACAGTCTAGGAAAAAGGTCTAGTTCGACTCCATTCTTTGTTCAGAAATTGAAATAGAACAAGAGGCTACTGCTTTCCCAAGATTAGTTGCCAATGTACGGAGAAATTTGGCATTGGAGTAATGTGTAGGAAAAATTGTTACAACATAAGACAAATTCAACCTCAGACATCCTCCTATGGCTCTTAACAGCAAAGTTACATAGTTCACATGACATCGGAAAGACGAAAACGATATATGGAACAGTTCAGATTCTGCTACCAGCAAGAGATGTCCTAGAAAAAAGTTGTGGCTGCTGAAGTAATCCTTCCCAGAGAAGCACTAAATGCCATTTAGTTGAAAGGCAAAAAAGAAAGAATCACAAAATACAGAAAGATTTGAACTAAACTAAAAAGCTGCATACCTGCGCTTGCTCTCAAGAAAAGAAATCCCAAGAGTGCCAATCTTGGAATATACCCACGATGCAGAAAAACAAGAAAATGTTTTAGCCCGTGTTTCATAAGGTATGGCTTGAATATCTTTTGAGCATGAGCTAGATAAACGTGATTGAGCTATGGTTATGCATGTTAGCACCAACTCGCTTTTACTTTCATCCAACGATTCATCCATAAGTTGTGCGACTTCAATTGCCTGGGATAAATGACCAGACATAAGAGAAAAAGAGAAAAAAACTACAATAAGGATGAGACGATGATAATGATATGAATATTACTTCAAATACAAAATACCATACCTCTTCATAAGCAAGTAGTTCACTTCTAATTGTGAATATTTGTTCAGATATTACGCAATTATAATTCGGGTATTTGACTACTCCCAAATCAACCAGTAGAAAAGCTCTCAAATCCTGCTCCCCATTCAGGAAGAAAAGTCTCTGCATATTTCAACCAAGAACTAATCAAAACATATCACCAGAGTTAGAATCCCCTCATCAATATATACTGTGTATCAATGAAAAAACAGAGAAGATAATCGGACCTCAGCACGCCAGATAAGGGACTCGGCTTTGGCATCTATCTTGACACATTTTCCAGTCCTATCCATAACTGCTATTGGTAGTTTTGGACTGAGCATTAAAAATGGACAGAAAGCATAACTCAAAACATTGTGTTGGCACATTAAGATATCCACAGCATGCATCAAGGGTATAACCATTTAGTACCATACTCCATCCTTGCATAGTGAGCAAAGCTCTGCTACAATATCCTGCTTCCTGGTACTGAGAGGACCGTTCTGAAGCCTCAAACAAAGAAATAAATAAAATCAGTGACTTCCTCGTAAGATATTAAAATTCTTGGCAACTTGCCTGTCATTACACTCCGTTGCACTTAGATAATGTGAGATATATTCTAAAGAATGTCAAGAGATGTATGAAATAAAGCCGAGCAACACTGTTCCTTAAGATTGTATGTGTAAGAAAAAAACAAAGAAGCTAAAATCTTGACGGTTGCTAATAAATGGTCTATAATACAAGCAAGAGGACATATGCAAAACAAGGTACGGCTTTGGAGCTGAGAAACCCTAGTTAGCAACTGTATCCAGAAGGCAATAGTACATAAAATCTAATAGAAACTGGGCATGATAGTTTATTATGAACATAAATGAACCAACAAATGCAACATTAAAAATTTGGACCTCTTTGATTTGTCTTAGCCCACAAAGGAGATCTTAAGTGGGTAGTCTTCAAAAAGCAAAAGTTGGCTTTCAGTGCAGAACTAGGGACACAATCTAAGCTACAACATATTCACCCAATACATTCCATCATACAAGCAAAAAAAACACATGCAGAAAAGACACGACTTTGGAGATAAGAAGCCCTATTCAGTTAGTAACCGCATCCATCAAAACAATGAATAGAACACAAGATTTGGAAATGTTTGACCCGTATCTGTCCACACAGGATATCTTATACTGTGTAGTCATCAGAAGCCAAGGTTGTTTTAGGAGCAAAACTAGGGACACATTCAAAGCTAGAAAGGATCCACCCAAAATGCTCCATATAACTCAACTCTTAACACATGACAGCAACCATAGAATTACCAGCCACACTCAAATTCTACCTTCAGAAGCTAACCCACGGGGTATATAGAGAGCTCAGATTGGAAAGTGTCAGACATCCAGACCCAAATTTGAAGTACTTGTACATTGCAAGACTCCCCCAAAACATGGGGTATAAGGATGCAATTATCCAATAAAAAATACCAGATAAACAAAATCCAAGCAATTTTTTCTTTATATTATACATGGCTCTAGAATTGTTACCAGAAGATGTTCTCATTCTTTCATTCTTTGGCTCTACTTTCTTTATTCTGTATAATATGCATATTTAACAACAACCAAAAAGGTGGTTCACAGACCTTTTTAAGCATGCTGCTGATTTCTCGTAGCTCAGATACAGTTAGTAAACTCAGAATTTCCTCCATGTTGCTATTTTTAAGTTCATTTGCGTGCCCAATGGAACACATGTAACCCTTTGCTGCAATAAGAAAACAGTAGAACTTTTTTACTTCAAGCCCATGTTTCCATATTGAGTGTACAAGGTAGAGCAAACTTCATCAAGGATTTGAAAGTACCAGAGAGCTCATTGCTGGCTTCCTTCAGATTCAAAATTTCAGGGTAGGAAACATTGGACATGCGGAACCAAGGGCCTGGAAAAAGCAAACGACGATGATTTACAAACACTATGCAAAACCTTGAAATTCATTAGATCATCAGAAAACCAAAAGGGCTTGAAGAAGCTGTTCGTAGATGTGGCATTAGATGCTTTGTAAAGCTTCTTAGTTCGAGTTTCATGCTTAAAGGCATGCATTCAGCAGCAACTAGTATAGTAGTATCCTCCAGTTTAGTTCCCGGACAGAACAATATATGAGTGGACTTACAAGCCACATCACCTAAAACTATATATGTAATAAACGTGTTGATGACTGTTGTTCATGTTTAGGCATATTCATAACAAGTTAGGGCAGCAGATCCAATAGGCAGTGTGTGTTTTTTAGTTTCATGCTTGATGGTGCACATCCATCACGTAAATAACAATTCAATTTCCAGAGTTGTGGGGGAATATTTATCATATATGCATGTGGTTCAACTGCACTGGAAAGGTGATTCATGGGGAAAATGAAAATTCAGCAGGTGTCTGTATTGCGAATGACTTACCTTTCCGTAAATAGAGCCGAACAAAAAGCCTCTGACTGTCATCAGAGAAAGAGAAAAACAATTCTGCCAACAGTTAACACCAGACATTGTCATAATCTGTCAAAAAAGGAAGTATAAGAGACAAGCAACATCAAAACCAGATATTGGAATTAGTACCCAAGAAATTTCTCTCTTCATCAGTAAAGAGGTGAGAATTAGTTCGTAAAACTTCTTGGACTAATATAATGAAGTTCTGTTGATACTTTGCCGCACTGGGTGAATTACTCTCCATAGATTCAACCACATGAAGAACGTTCTTCCAAGAAGTTGTGAGGTCCTTCACTTCGTTTTCATCAGTGGAACTACTTGTTAGGGTATCCTTGCTCATGATTTGAATGGGAACAACATCAAGAGGGTTATCTGGAATAGAAGTTATGAACCCCTGCAAGAAACCATGAACATCACTAATATTAAATCCACTGAACTGGTAAAATCTGCTAACAATTAACTATTAAAAATGCCAAATTCCTCTCGTCTAGCAGATTCAGATGCAAATACTTCAAAATGAAGAAAGTTCAGAAAGGAAATAAACTAAAATGTCCTAGGATAATAATTTGCATATTGGAAACGGGAGCTATAAAAATAAATTCAATCCAATTGCACTAATTATTATCCTAAGTATAAGATTTTTGCAATTTAAAAATATTGTCTCTGCATCTTTTGTCAATCATGCTTGCACATCCTTTGAAGATAGAAAAAATAACACTTGCATAGAATCAGAGTTAGCCTCAATTTTAAGTGATTGTTTCCCCAGCTTCAGACAAAACTGTACACAACATACCTAAACAAACGTATACCTCAAAAATGACACCATGCTTCTCAATCAAAGGAGACAAATAGCGAGCCAGCTCACGTGGTAGAAAACCGAGCACCCTGCAAGATGCAGAATCTCCTAAAAGAACCTTTATTGCGTTGGGATCCTTAGCATTCTCTGGGTCCTGCAACAGAGTGATGCTAGCTCCACAATTTAACTCTTTTTCATCACTAAACTTACGTCCAACTATAAAAGTCTCAAGAGTCATCCGGGATGACAAGGCTTCATCGCAACTCTGGAGCTTGTCGGTTACAGAAGAAGAACCAACTTGGCTGACGCTCTCATCATTGTCACAAAGTTGTTCAATAGCTTGGCTATCATTACTGATAACCACAACTAAAGGTGGTTTGGCAGTATCAATATCCTTCCCCTCATCTAAACTTGGCTTCTGCAAACCAAAGACTCTCCTCAGTAAATGTTTGTTTTCAAAAGGTCCTGAAGAAACCACACTGCTGTTTAACTTTCCCGACTCACTGGATCCAATTTCTGAACCTGACTTCGACCGAAAATCCAACTGTAGTAGAGTTCGCTGGGTCAGTTTCCGCTTCTTCCCTTTAACTAGACATAGATCTACAAGCAGATACACGATTGTTACAAACAGGATTCAAAATAATGCGAATAAATTAACATGACAAAGTAAGATGGGAAAGACATGATGGTTTGTGCAGTCAACTCCATTGACATGCATCTACCCTACACTCTTAATCAACCAGAAATGTTAACCACAAAGAACAATACCTAAATGGGAGTTCATCATGTAGTCTCCACCACGAACTTTAGCACCACAAACAGGACAACTGACCCATTCAGTTTCGGAAACTGAAGTTTCACCGGAACGATTCTCAACTTCTCCAGCTTTCAGCTCTTCCGTACCACCGACCGGCGACCGATCCCCGTCATCATCCAAACGCGAGTCCTGACAACCACACCGTGCGTGAAACTTAAATACGACCTCCAGTTAAAGCAGAATGAGTTAAGCAAGAGCTTGCACCAGCTACTTGATTGACATTTCGTCCCATTAACAGCGCAAATGAGGTCAATCAGGGAAAATGATAAGAAACCTGGATAGGGGCGGCGGAAAGGAGGAGGGAGTGACGATTGGGAAGGAAGCGCCGCCGCTTGCCGACCAATCGGATCAAGCTCTCCCGTCCGGTTAGCATCTCCTCGGTGACAGCGCTCAGTGAGTACCAGGTTCAGGTGGGAAGGTTGACGGCGACAAACCTTGCCCGCATTAACGAGGGATTTTTGCGCCCCATTGCCGAATCTGTATTTATTTCCCGCCAAGCGGATTCCTTACTCGGTGGGTTGCGTCCGTGGGAAGCCGTTCGATCTAGGGCGCCCCCGTCGACAGGTCAAAAGGAAAGGCGACCCGCGGGTTCGGGTCGACCCACTTTGACCCTGACCCGGTGAGAAAAATGGGCCGCACGCACTCGTCTGGCCGACCGCTACAAGATACCGGGTTGGAGGTCAAATTGTGTCATTTTTTTCTTTGGTTTGCGAAATGCGTCTATTTTTCGATTTTTCTTTTCGCCTAGCTCAATTTTTGGAATACTAAGTCGAACATTTGAATATTTATGTTATATAAGTGTGTGTGAATTTTCACTATATGTTGGATCTATATATGATATGTTATTTTGGTGTAATATTATATGTTATAACACATATGTTAGATAAGATTTGATATAATTTATGAGGATAAGTACAATATAATGACTTTTTCCATATTTCCGGGCCAAACCGGGCTAAAACGGTTGACCCATTAACCCTTGACCCACTAGCTCGACCGGGTCCGGGTCAACCCGCGGGTTGACAACCTTGGTTTGATGACTTTTATCAAGGTTGTGCCAACAGAAAAGCAACACAACTTAAATCAACAACGTGTTTATCTCAAAAAATTCACAAATTCCGGAACACCAAAAACGCATACAAAACATGTTTACTTATGTTCTTCTCCTTCGATTTCAAAATATAAAAAACAGATCTGGGAAATCTGGTTCGTCCTCGCCGCTGCCTCCCAACAGCCCGACGCCGACGATTTGACGGAGAAGAAAACCGGAAAAGAGAGGGAAGTCGTTGCCGCCTCCTTCCAACAACCCGACACTGCCGCCTCCTTGACTCGCCGGAGACAGATTCTTTTTGCGCAATGCCACTTCCCAGAGAAGAAGATAAGAAAAGGAAAGGAAAGTTTCCTCCCGACCCCGCTCCTGTCCCAATAGCTCGACGCCACCGCTTCCCTGTCCGCCTCGAGAAGCTGATGGAGAACGGGAGAAGAAGTTGGAGAGCAGGAAATGATTTTGGGGGAAGTTACAGAGACAGGGATGGGTGTGGGGGAATGGAGAAAGAGAAAAATAATAATAATAAAAGAAATGGCTTAAGTGGAAAGAAAATCCCGTACGCAACCATGAGATAAAACAGCCACGAAGCCATCTTTTATTGTTTTGTTGATTTGGGCTTGGTTGTTAAAACCTGTTGCACTAAAGTCCACAACAAAAATAAAAAACCCAATTAAACATGTTTTCTTTTTTTGGTTTCTACAATTCTTAAAATCACAACAGGAAACAAAAACACACAACAATACTAAACAGGGCCTTAAAGTAGAAGAAATACAAATGAATCGCAACCATATCAAAAGTTATTTTGACTTTCATCTTTATTTTTCACTTATTTTTAGTTTGGTTATATCATGATTCATTGGAATCATGGACCATAACAAACTTGCCAATACAAGATAAGTTTTTATTAGAAAATTATTAAACGTAAAATCTGGTCCAGCGGCACAACTTAAATGCTTCTTCAACCTTATTACACTATTATTTACATCTATACTATTTACATGAATGAATAGTTATATAACGATAAACCATTAATCGTGAGTCATTAACATATATTCAGTAAATTTTGTTAAAAAATAATCGTAGAAATCCAAACATTTATCTATCCAACCATGAGGTAGATCAGCTGCTACTCCTCCGATACGAAAAAAAATTATGCATCATTTTCATACCAGTGGTAGCTTTGAATAAATCATATACTAACTCTCTTTCTCTAAAAATATAGATTTCCATCCGAAAACCGTTCCGTTTATGAAAACATGGGATATAGTTAATAAAATATTTAAAAAATATGAGTATATTGTTAAAGTTTAACTTTGAATTCTTTGAATTATGATAATTAAAGTTCAAATGGATGAATAACCTACAAAGGCAATTTCAAGTCAAAATATTCTCTTGCTAATATTTTTTTTTGTCTCTTTTAAAAATACAAATTTAATACATCTATACTAATATTATTGGATCTTATTTGCTTTACATAATTTTCCAAATAATCTATTTTCGTACCACTTTTTTTTCTCTTTTCCTCAAAATTTTGTATCTTTAAATTATTTAAATGTAATACATCTATAGTAATATTCTTTACATTATTTCCTTTCGAATTCAATAGATGACAATCTTACAATATATAAATCAAAATATTGAGTTAGTGATATATTAATTAATTTTCAAAACTTCATTTGCAAGCTACTTATATCACATATAACAAAAATAAAGATCTTTGTTGAAATTTATTGATTTGATTCAGTGATGCTTAATATCTCAAAGCATGAATTTCTATTCTAGATAGCTTTTCATTTCATTGATTGTCTAACTTAAACTTCTTATGGTTAAGTATAAAATGAAACACAAATTCAATAAAAGTTATAAAGTTAATAGGCACCCAAAAATATAAACTGTCAAGATACTTTTTAACACCACCAGTACACAATACTAAAAATCGAACCACCTACGTATAACTAATAAATACCCAAATGACCACAAACCGGCCAACAGGCCGGATACAACACTAGTTCGTGATATATGTAACAAATCCTTCAAATTCATAACAATAGGCACATCATAAATCTAAAAATAATTTATCAAAATCCGCAATTTTCAAATCTAACAGTTAAAAAAAATTAACAAGCAAACGACGCCTTTAAATTTAAGACTAATAATGAGAAACAATGGCAGCAGAACAAACTGATTCGTATCTATCCACTAAAGGCAAAACTAAAAGAAAAAGGACAAAAGCTTAAGGAAAATTGTAAATCGATTTGTGGATGCAAGTGAAAGTGTTGTGCAGCTTGTATCCAATATAAGCAAGAACAATGATAATACATCCCTGGTATGGAAGTACTAAAATAAGCTCCATCTCAGGTCCAAAGTCTCGTCTAAGTCCTTACGGGATATCAATCGCCTTAACTTGGTCCTTCAACAACGCATAGACTGTCCTTTGATAGGTTATAGGTTTCGTCTAGAAGATTGGTGTTGTTGAAGCAAGGAGATACAGAAAAACTTAGAGGATTGGTGCTGGAAAAAAAAAGTGACAGATATATCCACTAACTAAGCGAGTGAATTAACAAACTCAAACAACAAAATGGAAGGAGGCAGTAGAATTTCGTCAAGCAACACCCTCGGTTGGTTTAGCTTCACTATCAATCATTTGTCATCAGCCTCTAATCTATGTGCCACTAACAAATTCACCTAAGAGAATGAAAGTAAGAACTTAACCACCTGTCTTGAGGTCCACATCTGATTCACGGCTTGTCGGGCCCATCATTGGAACCGGAAAAGACAATCTGGTTGCAGACCTGAACTGGGAGCTGTAAATTTACAACAGAACATATATAAACCGCTGAGAAAACATGATTCTGGTACCTCCATAATTGCCATTATCACCCCATATATCATGCAGATTGTCATAAAGAGAGAAATGCGACAAACACGACAAATCCGATCCCCATATAAACAGTTAAAACGAACAAAATAAATCCCTGCTGAATGCTATATAGTTAGTAATTAGTATCAAAGATGCACATATTAGCCTCCACCTCAGTATTTACATTCTTCAGAAAAGTTGCAGCATCATACTCAAAGTCACTTTCTTCTTCTTATTCTACATAGTCCCTGCCATCGTCCTCACCTTCTTTTACATTATCTTGCCTATATCCAGATTCATCATCCTAAGCATCACTCTCCAAAACGTCTTCAACTTCCTGATTAGCCATAGCATACAGCTCGATAATCCTAGGAGGTTGATTAGTTGTTGATGCCATCTCCATCAAGTCTTCATCTTTGGTAATCTCGATTATTGTTTCTTCTAATGGAGCTTTCCAAAAAAAAATTGGATTTGTCTGCTTCCCACCACACTCCTTGTACATATCCGGCAAGTCGAGGAAAAACAACTTATCAACATCAACATAATCATAGTAAACAAGTGGGTTATCCTTTATGAATTTCTTCCCACCCTTCTTTTCGATTTCATAGTCCAAGTGTACTTCAAAGCTAAATTCACCACTATATGTACATGTTTGAATAAAATGAATCCAAAGAAAGGTATTATAAAATGATACATGTTAGCTACTGCATATATCATGCATATAGCAACCAACAGTAGTACGTACTAGTAATAAAGAGGCTACACCAACCCCATCAGCTACACCGAAAATGCAATGAAGACAAAATGAATGCTTATTCTATTCAAATGTCACCCAACATGTTGTTTTCAACCTAATAAACAATTATGCAACTGAAGTTACCCCATAAAGACAAGAACCTCACCATATTTGGGGATAGGAGCATTCGGTTGCCGCACATGTCCCACCATATTGCTTCACAAACGGGACCAACAACCTAGAAAATGACAAGCTATAGTGAAAATCGAATAAAGAGATCGCGACTTTTCCCCTTTTCCCTCTCCCCTTTCGTCCATATCGAATCCCTTTCCCAATGCAAAAGGAAGACGAAAAATGACATTATCACCTTGGTTTTCTGCTTTCTTGCCGCCAGAACACCACAAATGCAAGTTGGAGTAGCGAATCGGGAGGTTGTTCTTCAGGTCACGATTTCTAGGGTTTCTATCCTTCTCACCACAATGCAAGAACGAGTAGTATAAGAAGAAAGAAGGAAGAAAGAAAGAAGGAAGACGATGGAAGATTGGATTTTTTTGCTCCTCGCCTGTACCTCCCCTATACGCTATGCTACCGGCCGACTCTCCTTGCACGCTCTGCTAGAGTGAAGAAAGGGAGGAAGAAGAAACGCACGACAAGAGGAAAGAAGAAGGGGAATCAACTTCTTCAGAGTAAGAAAAAAATAATTAAAGCAAAGTAAAAAATAATGGGCTCTGCCCTTTTCCGGGTCGGGTACTTTGCTGGCTCGGGTATTTAGGTTGACTCAGCCTTTCTGTCGGCCTAGTTAGAGTTTTTGTTTGCCACATCATCAAAAATTTGATGCCGTTAACGGAGTCTGACGGAGGCTGGCGTCCAGTGGCTACGGTGAAATGTTTCGTAAAGTGAGTGACCAATAAGCAAGGTTTGTAATTCGGATGGCAAACGTGAAATATTTATGTAATTTGGGTGACCAATTGTGTAAATCATCCTAAATTGATCATATGCAAGTTAGATGAATTACGGTTTCCGTGAACTGATTTAGGAAACACATTCATCTCTCTTAAACCGAAGGGGAAAACTTATGATTATGTTTTTATTTCCTTGTGATAGATCATGAAATTTATTATTTGAATTAAAGAGTGTTTGGTTTTTTCCCCCAAATGTAATAGTTAGTTGAAATTCGTTGTTATACACTCAAATTCAATGTAAAAATATGAAAAGAAATATAGTGTTGGTGTGGAGTGGGTTGAGTTGGTTGATTCAAACTGCTCATCATCGCCATAACCTAATTGAATTGTCCTCCTCCCTTTCTTCCTGATCCACCCGTCAACCCTTCCATCATCCAATTATAATCGTAATATTATGTGTAGGTGACAACAATATAGTCTTTGTTGTTGTTTTGTTGTTGTAACAAACAAAGATCTAACAAAAATTAGTAAGCAGCCAGGATACAATCTGGGTGCTCACTCCCTTAGTTACAGCAAATTTAAGTCTAGTAATATGTATGCGGCTGCCCGAGCACCCACATCCTGAGATACGGAGAATTTCTTTATCCGCTTAAGCAAAGCCTCAACTGTCGTATCCAACTCTCCCAGTGAAGAAAAAGAAAAGGGTAGGAACCGTAACCAGCCGATATACACAAGTCTCAATACTTGGCACACTTTCGCTGAGCAGCATCAGCAACAACTCGGCAAGGCACAAAACCAGTCATTCCAGTATGTGTCAAAGGTGAAGGCCCGGTCAGATCGACACACATCTCGTCCCCTGTCCAAGGAATAAAGTAGGGAATCAGCAAAACGAAGGGGTCTGTCATGCGGTGCCATCGACCAAATCGATATCAAACTCCCTACCGGCAGAAATCCCAGACTTGTAACATATGTTCGATAAGGTGTTATGAACGAGGATGCTTAATGCCCACATTATCAGCACATGACACAACACGATCCTCGAAAACATCACCAACAACGACAAGGGAACATACATGACATGGCCTAGATACCAAAAACAATAGAACACACAGTCGATAACTAAACACACTGTGATATGTACTCTCATTCTTTGTTTGACCCAACCCAGCATTAGAAATATTGTACAACCAATTAGAAGAGTGCGCACTCTCTGTTGAGACTCTCACAATAATTCATAATTAAACAGTAATAATCTTTGCCAAAATTATCATCGATAAGTTGCTAATGAGGACAGTACGAGATGGAAGTAGTGGCGGGGCTATGTTTGCGGAATTGGAACGGATGCGGACGAGGAGTTTTCGATTAGGGTTCTTATTTTCATTTTGTTGTGGGTAGGATAAAGTGATAAACAATTTATTTGGTGGTTAAAAATGTCTTTTTGTTTTTCCTTCCCGCGAGTATGATTGGTTTCTATTTTCATGATCTGACTTTTGTTAGTCATGCGAACATTTGTTCCCATCTTTTTCATCTTGGTGCTCGTTTGCGCTATCCCCATCGTGATGAACACTGACAAGGATGTTTGTTGCGTTCATGTATGACAAACTTTCTCCTCACAAAATGTGACTGTAATTAATCGTTGTGGTATAAGATTAGTTTTTAGGTGTAAACAGAATGTCATTGGCAATATATCTGATTAGACACTAATCATTAACTGATTAATAAGTTAATTAGGTTTGCAGACGGGGTTTACTCATTCGTGAGAATCCGTAGACAGCAAGGCATCCCTATATATGTTTGAAGCTTCCTTTTTAATTCACTAGTAATCACACGGGACTTCAGATGGAGACTTTGTTTGGTCAAATGGGTCGAATTGGGTGGTTGATTTTAGAGGCAATGGAGTGGTGCAGAAGGAAAGCATTATAACCTTCTTTAAATTTATTTCACATTCTTCACAAATGTACTAATTAACCATGTTTAGCCACATTTGTTCTTGCTTATGATGCATAGTTGATTGACATGGATATACAGGAGTTGATAGCTATAGCTGATAGAAAGGTTGTTAATCCTTCATTGATTGATTATTCGCACTTTTATTTTAGAACAATGACTTCAATGAGAAATTACTCTTGATTGCATTTCATATTTTCAATATTTTTAACTATCCTTCCTGTTATTGACGAAAAACTCTTGGTGGGCATGTGGCGGAGAGTTTAAAATCTTACTCGTCACATCCTCATCAATTTTTACGGATTTTACCCATACACTATTAAATGCGGAGATCCCTTACATTTATAGGGCCAGGAATAACTGTATATCCCTGATCTCGGGTTCAATTGTCATCTCTACTAACAACATTACTCTGTCGACTATATAACTCATAGGGATGGCATTTGGTTGGTTTGATCAAAACTGAAATGAACCTGAATAAACCCTAATGTCACAATAACTTGACCCCCTTACATTTATAGCACATACGACAGTCCGAGTATGGTCGAATTGGCCACTATGTGGCCAAAGAGTTGAGGACGGAGGATTCGCCTGCAGCGTCAGCGGCAATTGGCTGGGAGATAGTTGTGCGTACTGTCGTATGTTGAGTAAGATCGAGAGGGAGAAAAGAGACCTAACCATCATTCCGAACCGAAATCTGAATACAAGTTGCTCTCGTACCATCAAATCTTGACCCACATTCTTCCACATTTGAGTTCGATTGGTTCAATCTGTTGTTCAGTTTGGTAAAACTAGACTTAATCTCCACCTCTAATCTCTCCGAGCATATACTCGGTATGGAACGAAACAAAGAACACTCTGCCTCCGTCCCAAGAAAGTAAAGTGCAGAAAAGAAAATCTATACTACTTGGATGAGTGAAGACGTATGAGAGAGAGAGACGTTGCATAGGCAAAGCTACCCCTAGAGTTTCGTTGACTCTGCTAAAACTCTGGTTACACATAATCCTATTTGACGAATTTGCGGTGGATTTCCCCTCTTCTTATACTCCTAAATGGTTGTCTACCCCTCGCAATGATGATCGTAGGTTCTAAGCTAGGCAAGACAACGAATTGCATATGTCATGTTATGCAATAAGGTCGCTTCCAAACAGGTATTTCATTCGAGACATATGCATTTCGATACAATAAGCATAGCAACAACAAAAAAAAAAAACCAAGCCTACATGCAACCAAGAATCATTGAGTGATTTCGGCTACATATGAACTGCTTGACTCTTGTTGGGTTTTTTCTTACCATACTAGTAAACAACGATATGGACCCTACAGATTTCTCCCTTGAGGAAGTCGCGCATTTCAATCGACAACCTCGTGGCATCACGAAGCCCTGTCCTGTTTCTCCCAGAATGGGGGAGCTTGTTGGATCCCCTGAAAACTCCTTTCCTTCCTTCTTGTTTCTCAATTGCCTTTTCTGTTTAAAACTCGGGAGAAAGTCTCATTCTCTTATTATTTTCCCTCGCTCTAAATCCTAATTGAAATCCCTTTCTTCTTCCCCTTTATTTCCCCCTTTTTTATTTTGATTTCTAGTCCATTCACCTTCTCTAATGCCAAACTACCATAGCTGGAGAACCATCCAAACAAATTTTTTTTGGCAACAATGGATACTCACGGTGGCAATGTTCTTTTCAGAGCGCTGGTTAAGTTTAGCACGTACCGGAAACATACCAAACTCGTCTACCCTCCTTTCTTCTTCCCCTTTATTTCCCCCTCTTTGTATTTTGATTTCTAGTCCATTCCCCTTCTCTAATGCCAAACTACCATAGCTAGAGAACCATCCAAACAAAAAAAATTTGGCAACAATGGATACCCACGGTGGCAATGTTCTTTTCAGATCGCTGGTTAAGTTTAGCAAGTACCGGAACCATACCAAGCTCGTCTACCCTCCTTTTCCAATAGGACATCGTCTCATTGGAGATGAAGGCCACTCAAGTCGCCAAAATATCAGTGACCGACCTTGATGCCATAGACTCTTCCAATGACGAGGGATTGTCAAGAAGCAACTTTGAGTTCATTACCTACCAGAACCAGAACAACTTGCAGACGTCCACACCAAATCATTGGCTCGACTCTCCTTTCAACAATTATCTTGCAAGTTTCATCTCTCTGAGATTTCACTTGTGGGAGCGTGATAGAGTGTATTGACATAGTCAACCTATTATGTATTATGTTTGTATTATGTTCCTTAGTTCTAGCTAATTGGTTACTCTCACTTCCTTAGAAATAGGCAGAACGATATCATCTCATGTTGTATATTATTTTCAAGATCAATAATATACTAGACAAATTTTGCATTTCACTAACAATATCTATTGAAGATAGTCCTCATCTTACACACTGCAATCAAATTGAAAATAAACCCATCATAAAAATCCAGTATAAAGATAAGAGAAGTCAAATCATCATATATAAACTAACATCAATAGTTTTATCGTCAAATAACCTCTAGGATTTCTGGAGAACGAGTGAAACGAAGCTACCAAACGAACCCCAAGTTCTTTGAATCCAAGAAAGAGAGAGAGTTTAAGTTCCATCTACCAAGCTCTTTATCTTTTTCTATACCTCTTCTCTGCAGAACTAACCTCCTTGAAACTCAGATCAAGAACATGAAGAAAAACAAAAGATACAATGTTCCATTCATCTAATGTGCTCCAACTATCAGTACTACTACTCGAAATCAGAAAGGGAAACCTGGGTCGGAGTAAAAATGTGAGCTAGGAACGGATGAGTTCTGCCTTGAACTTCAACACAATCGCCATGTTTCCCCGTCGAAGGGGAGAAAATGTACACTCCATCCTTTTCTCCAGCTTCGTGAGGCTGCGAGCTCACACTTCCGCGACTCTGTCGCGAGCAGATGTACCGATCCTCCTTCCAAACTTGTAAGATCTCCACGATCCACGCGTGTGACGTGAAGGTATACAATCTTATCCAAGACTCGGCAACTTCCTGTTTCAGCAAGCACCATACGGAGTAATTCTCGCAATCCCCGCTAGAATCGTGAAACATGGTGTGAAGTGAATCCTTGAGCATAAAACACCCCATCGAAGCCATACGGCCACGGAGGGGAGGAGGGAGGGTTATGAAGGTGGATTCAAACACTTCTTCAGTCATGTCGAAGGAAAGACTAAAGCAAACTCCAAACAGTGCATAAAACCAGTAGCAGTGTTGTCTCCTCTGGTTTTGAGAATTATTGCGATTGTCCCGCTGCTGCTGTGGATGAACATAGTTGCCGCCATAGCCAAGGTGCGGGATCAGATCATCATTGATGGTTAGACTCTTCCACGATCCATTCTTTAAGCTATACACCTGAATGAGAATGACCAATCAGACCAGGAAACAAAAAGTGTACAACTATGAAAGATGAATTACCACTTGTTCATCACAAGCAAGAAAGGGAAGAAGCAGACAAATCTCATTACCTCCGCATAAGTAATCGTGGTTAAACGCTCAAGACTGCGATCATCCATCTCTTCCCGCCACGCATCGCCGAAATACAATATTCTAGCGACCTTGTAGTCATTGGTTTGGGGATCGAATCCGAAGCCGGTGATCTGCTGATGAGGAAAGAGCTCGCGGTGCGGGATGGCGGTGGAAGCGGGGAGTACTTTGGTCTCTGAGGTGGCCGGATTCCACAGAATGACGCCGGGGGCGCCCTTCAAATAGGGGTCGAACTCGACGATACAGAATATGCCATCGCAACACCCGGCGACGATTGCAGAGTGGCAGGGTAGCCGGTCGGAGGGCAAATCCCCTTCTGCGTTTGGGGCAGAGATGGGGAGGAGGGTGTCGTACGAGAGCAAAGAGTAAGGGTGGCGGCGGATTTCGTATGGCGTGGCGGCGTCTCCGCCGGCGGTGATTAGGATCTGGAGGGAGGATTCTTCGTCGTCGGAATTATTGGGGAAGAAGAGGATCTTGAGAATGAATTGGGGATCTGAGAGGAGAACACGCCAGGATCTGCAAACGCAGCGGAATCTAGCGATACTGGAAGCGGTTGGCAGCCTTAGAAGGATGCTCTCCATTAAATCCTCCGTCAGGGAAACGGCGCCGCCGCCGATGATTCCGGCCATTGCAGCTGCAGCTTGTTAGCGAGCAGAAGATAGATATGGATTGTGCGACTTGCGAGGAATAGAGAAAGAAGGGGATGGGATGGGATGGGAATTGGGATGCTAACCCCATACCCCGTTAGCACCGTCCTAACCCTATATATCTAGGGCTGCAAATGAGCTGAGCTGAGCTGAGTCGAGTCGAGTTTTACCTCAGCTTGAGCTCGGCTCGTTTATAAACGAGTCGAGTTCGAGCTCAGCTCGTTTATTAACGAGCCGAGTCGAGTTCGAACTAGTTTGTTTACTAAAATCTTGACTTTTATTTGGCACTTCATTTTGTATATCATAGTACATATCTATTATTTTGTTAGCTAATCTCATATTATACTTTGTTGGTATCATATATCATTTAGTTAATAATTTTTAACTACTCCATATCATGTTATTTCATAGTATCGAAGCAAACTATGATACATAATTTCTTTTTAAAGTAGAAAATAAGATATATTTACTCACATACTCAACGTGTTAACCTTTATATATGGTGAGATAGATAATTTAACAACCATATGAATTAAAATCATAAGATATAGATTGATTCGTCCATAAGTCGGTAATCGAGTTGGCTCTTTAGCCACATGTTGAGACATATCATGAACTCTAAACGAGCCAGCTCACGAGTTTAGCTCAACAAGCCACCGAGTCGAGCCAGTTCGCGAGCTTCACGAGTTGAACAAAGCTTAGCTCATGTTCAGCTCGTTTATTAACGAGCCGAGTTTCGAACGAGATTTTCTCGAGTCGAACGTCGAGCCGCTCGCGAGCAGCTCGGCTCATTTGCAGCCTTACATATATCAACTTCTTTTTTTTCGGCTGATAAAAGGTATTTTTATTGTGAGGGGTATTTTAGTAAGGTCTGTTTAATTAGCTGACGTCATTGCTTCAAATCAGCCGAGATTTTTGTGGTGGGATCCCAACAGTTACTTTTGGTTTTCGGGGAGATTCTTCTTCTCAATTTCCTCTCTATTTCATCGCACATCTTGACCTAGCGAAGCCGGGAGTTGCCGCCGTTGTTCGCCTGAACTATCCTCGGCGACGCAGCCCTCCCCTCCTCCGACCTCGTCGCCGCTCTGTGATCCTGCGACCTCCTCTGCTCCTACGAACTCGACGACGCCCACCGCTTGTTCGTCCTCGTCGCCGCCCTCCGAGGTTCCCACCTTGTCGCTGCAACACTAACACGCCCCATCACAAGGGCTTGAAGTTTGCACAGGTCTGAAGACAAGAATACCATGTGCTTAACAAATGGGGGTCACCGGGAATCGAACACAAGACCTCTCGGTCACAGAAGGCTCTGATACCATGTCAAGAACCAGTTGATCCCAATAACTCGAGTTGTTGGGAGAGGTTCAATTGTGGATCATATACCACAACACTAACACGCCCCATCACAAACGAAAACACTACGTGGTATCAGAGCCTAGAACCGAAAGGTCATGTGTTCGAATCTCCACGACCCCCAATATTAACCGTTGTCTTTCGAGCACATGGTATGGTGGGCCTGTGCAAATTTCAAGCCCATGGGTTGGCTTTCGTTTGAGGGGGCGTGTTAGAGAGTGGTATAAGATCCAGCAAAACCTTCTCCCAACAACTCGAGTTATTGGGACCAACTGGTTTATGACAGCGTGTAGGTTGCTGTATTCTAGCTCTGTTTTGGGTTCTGATCGGAGTGGGATGCATTTTTGTTTTCCGACGATGCTCAGTTTACAGTGGAGGCAGATGGCCATTCATTCGTAGTGTTTTCGTTTGTGGATAGTATTGAATCGATGAGTCAGTTCGTAGTGTTTTCGTTTGTGGTTGTTATAGTTTCGTTGGTAGTGATTCGTGTTAGTTTACACCTGACCGTGAAGTGAGTCCGGGCTTTGATCTGGTAGTGATTCTTATCCTGATCAGTAGTGCTTTTTGATAAAGTTGTGGTTAGGAAGCTGGCCATTCATTCGTGTTAGTATTGTTTCTTTTAGCAGTAGTGGTTTTAAAGTTGGAAGATGGCCATTCATTCGTGTTAGTATTGTTTCTTTTAGCATTCTGTTAGTATTGTTTCTTTTAGCAGTAGCGGTTTCAAAGTCTTGCTAAACGCTTGAAAGGACAATGGTAACTTACTGTAATTAGGTCATTTGTGTATGCAGTAATGGCGAAGGTGAAGTGTCCGAAAGGTTCGAAACCTAGTTGTAACGAAGGAGAAATGATGGATGTTATTCAGGCAGTGGAGGCAGATAGGTCCCGTACTCAGCACAAGTGTTTTCCTGGCCAGTTGATTACTATTGTGAAGGAAGGTGTGAAGAACCAGACCATAACCAAGCGGAGGGAAACTAAGCTACGTGAGATAGGGCTTGGTTTTGTTTTTTATATGCAGATGATCGTGTTTGACGGTGAGCTGATATCGTGGCTCTCTGAGAATTTTGATGCCAAGACCATGTCAATTCAGATGATGGGTGGTCGGGTTCTCCGCTTCACAGCAGATGATTTATGTAGGATATATGGCTTGCCTAGGGGTCCCCAGAAGGTCAATGTTGACAAGTTCCCCTTGAAGGCCAAGAAGAAGTTCAGGTTGGCGCTTCAATGTACGGTTGATCAAAGACAGGTTTCGAAATTGGTGAATCTGAAGGAGATGCTGGCAAAGGAGTCAAATGATCGCATTTGGGTTCAATTGTTTGTGTTGCTTGTGTTCGGGTACCTATTGGCTCCCACAACGACGAATGTCGGCAAAATGGCATATCTTGGTTTCTTGCAAGATGAAGATCTAGTGGAGTTTGCTCAGTATGATTGGTGTGCTTATCTTACGGACTTCATGAAGAAGGCTTTTCTTCGAAACGAGGACAAGAAGTATATAGTGGTACAACGTAAGGCTGATATGAGATTGGAATATGGTGATTTTGGAGACACCCTTGCGTGAGGTGGTGGCCACTGAGAAGAGGGAGAGGCCTAACATGGTAATAGATGACACCAGGGGTACGAAGAAGGCTAGATTTGATACTGCCGAAACCTCTTATGGTGTGCAACATACTTCTACGAAGGTGACGAACCAAGCCCTACGACTTGAGGATATGGATACACATCAGGTTAGCTTGGTTTATAATTACGGGAGTTATACTAGTATCAATACCCACGGCTACGCCGCAGGAGATTTAATAGTGTTAAAAGCAGTATAGTGTTGATGAAAATAGTTGGAAATTATATACAGAAAGCAAAGCAAGTAGCATATTTTTTTCGGTCAAAAACTTTCAAAGTGTAAGAGACATGTGCAACCAACAATATTGATACTTTACACATACTTTTCCTTTCATTTCTATTGCCTCGGGATTTTGACTTGTCCGGCATCTACTGCAATCCTTCCTCATACTATATGCTTCCAAGCATAAAAAAACAAACATGAATAGGATGAGAAAAGGTAGATGAATCCTTAGTCTCGAAGGGCATCTTAAACCGAGTTCCAGAATACCATTTAATTTGGCATTGGAGCGGTAACTGCATAAGCTCTACACAAATCTCAGAAGAATCATTTAACCTATATTAACTTTTCGGAAGCTGCAGATTGACCAAAACAAAACAAAAAATGCATCTAAAACTTAGCAGTTAAACCCAATAAAGGAAAGAAGGAATCTTATTAATAACCTAAGACTAATAATGAGAAACAATGGCAGCAGAACAAACTGATTCGTATCTATCCACTAAAGGCAAAACTAAAAGAAAAAGGACAAAAGCTTAAGGAAAATTGTAAATCGATTTGTGGATGCAAGTGAAAGTGTTGTGCAGCTTGTATCCAATATAAGCAAGAACAATGATAATACATCCCTGGTATGGAAGTACTAAAATAAGCTCCATCTCAGGTCCAATGTTTCGTCTAAGTCCTTACGGGATATCATTCGCCTTAACTTGGTCCTTCAACAACGCATAGACTGTCCTTTGATAGGTTATAGGTTTCCTCTAGAAGATTGGTGTTGTTGAAGCAAGGAGATACAGAAAAACTTAGAGGATTGGTGCTGGAAAAAAAAAGTGACAGATATATCCACTAACTAAGCGAGTGAATTAACAAACTCAAACAACAAAATGGAAGGAGGCAGTAGAATTTCGTCAAGCAACACCCTCGGTTGGTTTAGCTTCACTATCAATCATTTGTCATCAGCCTCTAATCTATGTGCCACTAACAAATTCACCTAAGAGAATGAAAGTAAGAACTTAACCACCGGTCTTGAGGTCCACATCTGATTCACGGCTTGTCGGGCCCATCATTGGAACCGGAAAAGACAATCTGGTTGCAGACCTGAACTGGGAGCTGTAAATTTACAACAGAACATATATAAACCGCTGAGAAAACATGATTCTGGTACCTCCATAATTGCCATTATCACCCCATATATCATGCAGATTGTCATAAAGAGAGAAATGCGACAAACACGACAAATCCGATCCCCATATAAACAGTTAAAACGAACAAAATAAATCCCTGCTGAATGCTATATAGTTAGTAATTAGTATCAAAGATGGGTTTCCCCCAATATCAACGACTTTTGTTTCTAATAATAAATTGGCTGGCCTAGTGACTACGTACCAAGTAAAATGGACGTAGTCAGCATGCCATCATGGCAATCCTAAATTGCAGGCATGTTTGTCCAATCTACATACCCTTTCTATCTTCTTGCCACTTCCAATTTTTTCTCATGCAACACCAAAAACAACCCTCACATTAGCAATACAGAGATAGGGCAGAACGTGACTCCTGAAAAGATTACATGCCTGAATATATGAAGTAAAACTACCCTTCCACGAAGTTCACAACACTTCCAGACAACTAATCAATACATTTCCCATCTAGTGTCCTCTCTAACCTCCTCATGTTCGAATGAACCAAGTTCTTTTTGCCGTTGATTTTAAACAATTAGTCATGTTACTTTAACAAAGGAAGCAGCTAAATTGTCAAATGGGTGGTTACAATTAGGGTAAGTGATTTTCAAACACAGGATGGAAATATAAAGGCTCCACTCAATCAAAATAAAGAAAAATAAATCAAACTCCTTTTCATAGAAAGCACAGAACAACTAATAAGCAATGAGCAAAGCACGTAGATGTAATGATATGTACATGGACTTTCTATACTGAATTATGATCAACAACGCAGTGTGAATTTGATGCACAAACCTGATATTTGAACTCCCAATTGGTGCTGCGGCATAATAAAATAAGGAAACTGAGAACCACCATTTTAAACCAATAGACAAACATTCAATAGAACACGCCTTTCCATCCGGCAGCAACCTCTCTAATTTTGGAAGCCCGATAGCACATACATGTTACAGGCTTACAGCTAGTAGAAGTCAAGAGCTGTACCGGTTGCGTGCAGAGTCCCTGCTCAGCGGTGGCGTGGTGAAGAGAATTGATGGAAGGATGGTACGACAATTGCAATAAGGGGCAACCACAGCAGTGGTGTACTGGCCGTAGTGTGGATTTGGGGAAGAACTAATGAGGGAAAGCAGTTGGGTGGGGAAGATTTCTCACAAAAGCTTTGATAGGAGCTAGAAGACAGAAAGTGCTACAGTTACGGGGGCAAAAAGCGTACCCAGCTTTTATATATAGAAAGAATGCGTTGGGGTGAATAGAATTATTTCAACTTATTCTTCTTGTGGCAACTAATGCACATCTCTTCATGCAAACATGCAAAATCGCTACAACATAAATAACTCTAGAGCTTTACAAACACCCTACTTATGAACTCGTACGCAAACCAAAACACCATACGATACACTCTACTGACTACCAAAATACTACACACACATAAAAACCCTACACATTCATCCACACACAATATTTGATAACACTACCATAGGTACAAATGACACTACAGATACTTCCATGCCATCAATAGTAAACCCTACACAAGCATTGACACGTCAATCACAAAACGCTACACACGCATTCATACAAACACTACACACGAATTAGTAAAAACCACTACTACCAATATATTGCACCTCAATATTGACGAAACTACATAGTCCCAAGACAACTATGAACAGAAACACTACCATGCCTGCACATCAAACTACTATAGACCCTACATATTAACAACACAGGCGATCAATCAAAAAGACTACCAAAAACTTCCATGCAAAAACACTACCACACCTATTTCCACCACAACAGCCCCTCACTGTCACTGATATCCTCACAACGATTAACCATGTAACAAATAAAACCACGACGTACCGTCGCTGATCTCCTCCCTCGCTTTTCCCACTTCCACCGAGACGATGGACAAGTCGATCACCGGTTCCGCAGCGTCCACTTCCGGTGCCACGGTCATCACAGGAACTTCATCGGTTTCAGTCGCCATCAACAATAAACCTTCTCACCGCCGTTTCCGACGACACCTCCGACGATATTTGTTCTTCCCCTTCGATTTTTCTCTCCCTCACCGTCGCCGTTGCTATCCAAGAATCAAAGGAAACTGGAGAGAGTACACCATTATTCAAAAAATCAAAACAACGCCACTGATATCCTAACCGTCCCAAATCCCTACAAATCAGCGCCACTAAAACAAACAGATTAAATTTAAAAATGGAAAATTATATTTAATACTGATTATCCCTAAATTACCCTTAGTGTTTTCTTAACCATTAGATTAGAAATATATTTTAACGGTGAAGATTGGGGTTAGGACGGTGCTAACCTCGTATAGGATTAGCACCGTAGCTTGTCCCGAAAGAAGGGGGTCTAGATCAGTTCAGTAACTATGTGTCGAGTAATTTCACGTATAATTCAATAAGAATCCGCCACATCAGCGCCTATTTCTCTCTCATCGAAAAACATTTAATTTTCTTTTCTTAATCTTTAACGGACGATTTCTCACTCGTTTTACCTCGGAATTTAATTTTTTTGCACAGTTAGATCATATTAATTATGCTTTTCAAAATGATATCTACTTTGATATTTTTGGAACAAAAAAAATTTATCAGTTATTACCAGTCTATATCATATAGTATTGGTTGTACCATGTGGTATTGACTGGTATTAAATAACAACATACCATATGGTATGAAACATACCACCTCAGAAAATTCTGAAATCCAATTGATCATGATTAAATCGTTCCTTTTATGCAAAAATTTCCGAAAACAACTAAACAACGAAGGAGATACCATATGGTATGGAGTTGGTAAAGAGAGGTATGAAAAAAATTTTCTCAAAAAATATTAAAAATACATATCATTTTGTAGAACACAACGAACTCGTTCCATCTGTGCAAAAAAAAAATTGAAATCCAAGTTAGAATGAAGAATATATGATCCAATCAAGAAAACTAGGAAAAATAAATTCCTTTAATTTTCCTCTCTTAGATCTGCAACCACTTAAAAGAAGGGTCCAGATTTGATTACTCATAGTTACTCACCCTAAGATTACTCGCCCTATCTTGAGCCGAAAGAAGGAGTCCCGTCAGTTACCCTTTTATTGTTGGAGATTGATATTCCTCCTCCTGAAATTGATATTGGTGGCTCTCCTAGATGACTCTTGTACAATACTTGTAAATACATTTAATATTTGTATTTAATGAATTAAGCGTAACATTAGGTTAAATACGAAGTAAAATACCCTAATGTATTATATATGTGACTTACTCGTATCATATTTTACTAACAATGTGAAATCTCTTTAAAATTACTAAATTATTCTTTAATAATAAGCCATGTATTTATTACTCAAATTGTTCGTGTGGTCTAGTTGTTCGAGAAACAGAAGGGCATGTTGTGTTGGCAGTAGGGGCCCAATATCCTGGAGTTGTTGGTTCCTACTTTGTTGTATTGCTCGCAGCAGCAAGAGAAGTATTTCCCTTGTCATCTCTTATTACCTGCTTCGGGTCGCGATCGAAGGAAATTCTGAATTTGTTATTCGTCAGCTTCGCTAGGGAGTTTCGTTGGACTACCTAAGAGGGTCTATACTTCAAGATCACCTTTAGCTCTTTTCATGGCCCTCCCTGTGCCCCTCTGCGACAGGGGTATGGCTTTGATCGGGTGTTTCATGTTGAAGGATTCACTTCACACTATCTTCCGCAATAGTAGCGAGAATTACTCTGTATGGTGCATGTTGAAACACGAAGTTGTTGAGTCCTGGATAAGATTGTATACCTTCACGTCATCCCCATGGATCATGGAGATCCTCAGTGGTCAAAAGGTTAATTTGGCTAAGTCAGCGGTGTGCTTTAATAAAAACATCCGGTTGCCGGATCAAGAATTTCTGGCCCAGATTCTGGGGGTGGGTGCGGTGGGAGTCCATGACAAGTATCTAGGCCTCCCAACACTCTTCTCCCGGTCTAAAATGGATACCTTTCGCTACTTGGAAGAAAAACTGCTTGAACGGCTTCAGGGATGGAAACAGCGGACATTGTCTTGGGCAGCTAAAGAGACTCTGATTAAATCAATAGCTTTAGCGCTTCCCTTACATGTTATGTCCTGCTTCAAGCTTCCCCTGTCTCTTTGCAAGAGTAAGCATGATGGGGGATGGGGTTCCGTCGCTTTGAACAATTCAATCAAGCTTTGTTGGCAAAGATTGGTTGACAGATTCTTAATGAACCCCTTTCCCTTCTGGCCCAGGTCTATAAAGGGAAGTACTTTCCTAATGGGACATTTCTTAAAGCAACTGCGCGTTCGCGGCCTTCTTGGGGATGGCAGAGTGTCTTATATGGACGACAACTACTGGAGGAGGGGCTAAGATGGCAAATTGGGAATGGGAGGACGGCTTCTCTGCTGGAGTCCAAGTGGGTTCCTCAAACCCATCATTGGCCTCTTGTTTCCAATCCTAGAGTGTTGCCGACAGGAGGGGACCCTAAGGTTGAGGAGGTCATGTGTCAGGGAGAAGGGCGTTGGAATGATGTCAAGCTAAGTCAGTGGTTTTCCCCGGCTACTTGTGCGGCAATTAAAGCTATTCCCCTTCCCCGGCAAGACGTGGAGGATCGCCTACTCTCCTGATGGGTGTTTTACGGTGAAATCCGCCTATCACCTTGCGGTTAGTCTTGATCAGAAACGAGGGCACTGGCGGTCTTTGGCGAGTTGGATGGATAAGGCTAGTTGGATTCGACTTTGGGAGGCCAACATTCCGCCCAAGCTCAAAGTCTTCGTCTGGCAGTTATTTCATCGAATCCTCCCTACTACGGAGGCCTTGCGGGAAAAGGAGGTTCCGGTACTCTCTCGTTGCCCGGTTTGCTGGGCAGAGTCTGAAACGATGGAACATTTGTTTTTAGACTGCCCGGTGGCAGAGCTTTGTGGGAGTTTTCGGGACTCGATTTTTTGGGTGAAGGGTTGCCGAGGCATACTTTCCCTCTGTTTCTCAAAGATTTACTTGCGCGGGTAAGCGAACCTTCTATGCTCATGGCAGTGGTAGCTATCCTCTGGAGGATCTGGCGATCCAGAAACTGGGTTGTTTTCGAAGGAAAGCAGTTTGGGATCCCAGTGCTCTTGCGTCAGTTCCATCAACAAGTGGAGGAGTGGATCCGTTTGCCAGTTGAGCCAGTTCCCCGGACATCTCTCCCCGTACCCCGGATTCCTAGTTCTGTTCAGGCTGGCTCAGTTGTGTGTCAGTGGGATGGGGCTACTAGTCATGGGACGCATTCGGCTGGAGGTTATGTAATCTTGAATTCGGCTAGGGAGGTCCTCTTTGTACAAGGAACCCAATTCCCGGGTGTGCAGGACCCTGCTGTAGTGGAGTTACTGGCCTTGAGAGAGGCGCTTTTGGGATGCATAGGACACGGGGTCACGGATGTCAGGTTTGAAGGAGATGCAAAGATTGTCATTGACAAAATCAACCAGGCTGATTCCAGGGATAGCCGGATGGGTGCTGTTCTTGAAGAAGTTATTCATTATTTTGCTGCTCATCCGGGGTTTTCGATTAGATTTGTAGGTCGGTGTAACAATAGGGTAGCCCATGTTGTGGCTCGAAAGGCCCTCACTTTGTATCCGACTACGAGTCGTTGCTTTGATTTTCAGGCCTGGCTTAATTCCAGGATGTAACTTTACCTCTTATCAATCTATATGATTATCTTTTGTCAAAAAAAAAAAAAAAAAGAAGCAAATAAGGAGAACCAATCAAAGTGCAAGTTGGCAACAATGACAAAGAGTGAAGTGCATAATATATTGTGTAGATGTAGACTAGGGATGGCAATTTGAACCAGCCCCGCTGGGTATTACCCGATCTGACCAGCATTGGGCGGGTATTACCCAACCCGCAGTAGCACTGGGGCGGGGCATGAGTTACTATTTCTGACCTACCTCGCTGCACTCTGCCACATTCTTGACTCATTTTATCTTAATTTCTTCAAATATCTATTTATATTTTTCCTATTTCTATCATAGTTTCACCGAATTAAAACTTTAAATAAGTGCAAGATCTGATCTTTACAATTATTTATACTCAATTACAATTGTCACTATTTTCATTTATAAAGTGTTTCCATTTATCTTATCATAAAATAATTATTTTTTTGCATTTATTTTCTTCAAAGAACACGTAACAGTGGGTCGACCCGCCCCGACCTGTACCCGCACGAGTATTACATGACCCGCGCTTAGTATTGGGCGTGTATGAGTATTGAGATACCCGCCCCGTTCGACCCGTTTGTCATCCCTATCACTAACCATTAAGAATTAACAAATCAGAACTCGATATGTGGGATTTATAAATCCGTAGACCCCATAAATTTTACATCCATAAACAAACAATAGGTTTGGATTAAAATCCATCAACCTTGAGATTTGAGTGCCACATCGATTCGTGAATGAAAGAGGGAAATAAGCCTAAGTTGTAAGGAATTGTTCGAACTACTCAAACACTCAACCATTGGATCCTCTACTAACGAGGTATTGTTGGACTACAATTTCGCTTCTGAGGTATTGTCTTAGGTTTGTATTATATTATGATGTTCTCACTCTGGGTTTAGCAGAGCCAATTTGCCTTCAGATAAGCTGAACTAATAGATTGATGGATCACTATTCAATAGGCATCTTCAGCGAAATCTAAATGCTTATGATGATTGATTATAGTGGGTTGTTCCAAAAAAATTGCGTTCTAGTAGATTTTGCCGGTAACTCCACTCCACAAAGAGACCAAATTCCTCAGAAACAGAGTTCCTGCTGGAACGAAGAAACTCTTTGTGACTTGTAAGTTGCCTTATTTTTTTCACGCAGCATCTCATAAGAATGATTAATAATTTCTTGTGGAACAGGATTGCCATTATACACACATGAGAAGACATTAAGGGAAGCATTTGATGAGCTGGTCGAAGGTGCGGTAATGCATAATAAGCCCGGGAACTTAACAAATGTTGGCATTTGTTTCAAGTACTAG